ATTTTTTCACTTTAAGCATTAGGACCTCAGTTAAATCAGAAAATTTACTCACATTTTGTAAACTAGCTAGATAGATTTCTCACATGTAAGAAACCTAAGTCTTAAGATGAGACTGGGAAGGGTAAATGATTGAAAGTCGAAAAAATTGATGTTAACTCGACCACAAAGTTCCCTCTTTAACCCTAAGTCTTAATATTTTATGTTGATAAATAAGGGCGAGGCCAAGTGGTTAACACTTCAGACTTGTTATATAAGGATTGCTGGCTGCTTGGGTTCAAACCCCATTGTTTCTGTGAGCAAGAAACTTTACACTCATTGCTTATTACTTGTTGGTTCCAGGAACGGATTCCAGACTGTTTCAATAAGCTTATAGTTTCTACCACAATTGAACTAAAATAAATTAGTATAAACTAAATAAGGGCCAGAGGTCTAGACCATTTTATTGAAACCTCGCTAAGTCAGAAAACAAAATTTTCATTGATGATGATGGATGATAGTGAAAACATTGGTATAAACATCAAGCATATAAAAGTACATTGAATATGTTTATGATATTCTTCTATAACTAAATATTTATCTACAAATTTATTTTATAAAACTTTTCTGATTCTTAGATAAAGTGATGTTACCCTTTCAATTTTGGAAGTTCAAACAAAAAAAAATGAAACGCATTAAAGTCATAGACAGTCATAGACATTTAAGGTTTTTATAAACAAGCTGACTTGATTTAAGGATTTTATCAGAAAGTTAGAAAGTTATTCCAGATAAAAGCTCTTTCTAGTTTCTTTTTTTTTAATTCTTCTAGAGCTTTCTCAGGTACACACATAAAGGAAAAAATATTTACCAAAATATTATTTAATTTACAATTCTCACCACAGGGTGAGCTTAAAATGGCTTATGCAGTCAACTATCGTTATCTCAACTTCGCATTTCTCGATATTTCGTTATCTCGATAAAAAAATTTAAAGTCCCGATTTTCTTCCTTCTTTATCTATATTGGAAATATTTGTTTATCTCGATATTTTTATTTCGATATTTTCAGTATCTCGATGTACAATTTCAGCCCCAACAGTTATTTTCACACTATTATCCTTTGTTTATCTCGACTAATAATTTTCTTTCGTCTGTTCCCTTCAGATGTGTGAAAAACACAAACTAGACGATAATGCTCAATAGCGCGTGTCATAATGATGATTATGTTTGTAACATGTTTACCTGTTTTTATAAAAGTTAATCTATTTAGCGTGTTGATTGACTTATGTCCAAAATGAGTGAATTTTACGTTCTTTATAAATATTTGAACACTGTATCAATTTATGTAAATGAAATAGTCAAAGTATAGAAACGCTATCGTTGCAACATTGTTTCACAACATCACCACCAAATCAATCAGTCGTCAAACAACATCGAGAAAGACCCGATAAACAACCCGGGAGGATATCCGGATCAACCACCCTGAAAACAATGTTTTCACTATATTGGTGTATTACTGAGTAAACCTCACTATGTGTTTTTATCACAGAAACCCGTATTTCCGCTGGTAAAAAAACGCTTATGTTACTTTGTTAAATATTGACTAGGCCTATGAAAACTAGACATGGGATATCATAGTTTATTTGACATAAGGTATGCACATGTCCTTTGTAAAAATCAGTTACTGCCTTATTCAAACCCTAATATGTTTATCTCGACATTTCGTTATCTCGATATTTTTAAGACGGTCCCGATGACTTCGAGATAACGAGAGTCAACTGTACTTAGCAAAAGAACACATCTACAAGCAAAATAATACATCTCTAATTACAATATAAAATCTAGTGCTAAAGTACTTACTCTAAACTTCAGTGGGTATAGGACCCTAATATATATAATTGTTTGTAAAATTGACATTGTATATTATAAGAGTCAAAAGTTTTGTGTAACCAGACAATTCAAGTACATTGTATTAGAAAACAATAACAAAATTTTCAGATTTAATGCATTAAGGACCTGAACAATAATTTCCAATGTATATTTAAAATGCAATTGATCCCACATGAATGGATAATAGTACCTTTTTTGACAGAAAAAATGGTTTTTGTTTTCAGGAATGAGTTTTCCACTCAAAATTATGATTCTGTTATATCAAAAAAGTTGATTCCATAAAGACTATATGATAATGAAGAGTCCAAAATCTCTTTACAAAAATGTTGACTTTAAATAAATATTGAGAAAAAAAACCAAAAAAACAATTGTATCAACTTTTTAAACAGAAATCTTTTAAGCTACATAAAATCTATAAAAAATATACATGTATAATAAAACAGGCAAAGTAAATAAAATAGAAGCCTCATATGACAGGTATTTTATATGATGTTTCAGTATAAGTTGGTCTTACATGGTCTTATATATAACATTATATGGGACAATAACATTTCATTTACTGGTATGTATACTACAGGCATGCAAGAGAAAATGAGACATATGATCATTTCTGTACTGGTACCCACTACCCTGCTTTATAATACAGATATGGGGTGGGGAACCAACTTAAATCACATGCCAATGCAGACTTTGATTTTGATAAAGATGTAGATTTCATGTTTAGGATATGGGACAATATTGCAGAATGCAGTGAGATGAAATGTATGAGTATATGCCACTTTAGCCAAAAGTGAGTACATCAGTCTTGCAAGAAGTAACTTAATATGTGTACACCAATTTTGCAAAAGTTTTTAACAAAGATTGTCACACATTTTGCAAAAAGTTATCAAAATGTGCACCCCTATTTAGCAGAAAATTTACCTATAGAATTTACACTCGTTTTGAGTGAAGAAATTGCAAATAGAATATAAAATGAGAGTAAATATCAAAAAGGGAGATCACTGATTACGTTGAAAAAGTTTACTTAATATAAGAGATGTTGACTGGTTTTACAAACCTTTTGATGAAGATCCCCATAGACTGGTTCCATATGTATTAGAGGAAACTGAGGCATCTACATGACCCGTCGTTCTAGCTTGTCCCTGAGGTCTGAAATCAAACAAAACATAAGTTTTTATTTTTGATGGGTTCTATGTGAATATGAATAGACCTGTAACATGATAGATTGGAAAACCAATATATGTACACCCCCAATGACTGTTACATTACAGTATTGTGCAATAGAAATGAACAATTTTGAAGAAACTGGTAAGAATCTGAAACAAGTGGGCCATGATGGCCCTGAAGTCGCTCACCTGTATATAGGCCCCCAGAGCGCCCCAGGGATTTTATTTGAACAAACGTGGTAAACACTCATAAGAAGATGTTTCATGCTAAACATCTAAGGTCTAGCTCGTTGAGTTTTTTAAAAAAAGTTTAGCTATTTGGGTTTTTTCAAAAAAGATTTTTAACTTTTTGCTATACACATACAAGGAAAATCAATGTCCCCCGGGGCAGGGCCAATTTTGACCCTAGGGCTTTTATTTGAAAAGACTTTGTAGACACTAACTGGAAGATGTTTCATGCTTAATATCTAAACTCTAGCTATTTGGTTTTTTTCAAAGAAGATTTTTTTTAAGTTTTTGCTATACACATATAATGAAAATCAATGACCCCCGGGGCGGGGCCAATTTTGACCCCAGGGCTTTTATTTGAACAAATTTGGTAGACACCCATTAGAACATGTTTCATGCTAAATATCTTAGCTCTAGCTCTTTGGGTTCTTTAAAAGAAGATTTTTTAAAGTTTTTACTATATGCATATAGGGAAAATCAATGACCCCCGGTTATTTGAACAAACTTGGAAGACACCCATTAGAAGATGTTTCATGCTATATATCTTAGCTCTAGCTCTTTGGTTCTCTAAAAGAAGATTTTATAAGTTTTTACTACATATATAGGGAAAATCAATGACCCCCTGGGGCGGGGCCAATTTTGACCCCAGGGCTTTTATTTGAACAAACTTGGTAGACACCCATTAGAACATGTTTCATGCTAAATATCTTAGCTCTAGCTCTTTGGGTTCTTTAAAAGAAGATTTTTTAAAGTTTTTACTATATGCACATATGGAAAATCAATGACCCCCGGGGCGGGGCCAATTTTGACCCCAGGGCTTTTATTTGAACAAATTTTGTAGACATTCACTAGAAGATGTTTCATGCCAAATATCTTAGCTCTACCTCTTTGGGTTTTTTAAAAGAAGATATTTTAAGTTTTTTCTATCGGTTGCCATGGCAACCAGAGTTTTGCATGGAATTGAATTCTTTGAACAATTTTTAAAGGTGACCACCAAAGGAACATTCCTGTGAAGTTTGGATGAAATTGGCTCAGCGGTTTATGAGGAGATGTCATTTAAAGTAAAAGTTTACGGACGACGGACGGACAGCGGACGGACGGACGACGGACGAAAAGCGATCACAAAAGCTCACCCTGTCACTTTGTGACAGATGAGCTAAAAAGCTCACCTATATGATTGTTTTTATGTCTGAGAAAGTAAATTTGAAAGGGTGATGCATAAACAGTGCAGTGTACTTATTGTCCGAAAAATATGGTACCCTAAATGCACAATTTTGCATCAATAATAAAAAATAAATTATGGCAGGAGACAATAACCCAACCAACGTCAATATGCTTAAATCTACATTTTATCTAGCTACAAACTTGCAAACAGATAAGTCTGCCTTTCAACTTAAATGTTTGGCAGGTTTACAACATAACTATTACAATATTCAAGTTTTACAAATTATTGATCAACTGAAATAAATGCCAGTGTCTCAGCACTTAAATATTGTACCTGTATGCAGATAAACAAGTAGATAAAGTAGTTATGCTCTGACAAAACAAGTAAACTGTCATATTTCTTCATAATGATCATATAGCAGTTTAGAATTTCACATTTATCTTTAAAACTTTACACAGTTAAGCACTTTCTGATAAAGGTTTACCAGTTTAAAGGATATCATATACTGATAAAGTTTAACGTTTGAAGTAACGTGTGGTGAAAAGTGTAAACTTTGCAGTATGAATCAGCCTTGATAAACTTTAAACAGGAAGACATTGCCATTGAAAAAAGGCTAAGGTACAGCTAGACTTTAGGCTATTAGCAAATTTCAACAAAAAATGACGACTTATAATGAAAAGAGTACAGATGCTGCAGTAAATATTAGTTCAGATGACTTTGAGAAGTCAGCTGATGCCACAGAAAACAACAAAAGTACAGATCCTACCGAAAAAAGCAAACCTATGGATGCTACTGAAAAAGGCAAAGTAAGGATACTACAGGCAAAAGCAGAAGTAGATAATACAGAAAAAAGCCAAGGTATGGACAAAGAGATATTTTGTGATCCTTGTCAACGTAATAACAAGTATAAAATTGCAGAAGGATTCTGTGTGGACTGTGATGAACATTTATGCTCTAGTTGTTTTAATATTCACAAGACATTCCGAGTTTTACAACATCATGTGCTAGTAGATAAAAATAGTGTGCAAGAGAACCAAACTGGAAATGTCAAGGACATATGTGTTGACAGGTGTCTTTCACATACTGACAGGGTCATAGAATATTTCTGCCAGTCATGTGACAAACTTTGCTGTTCTGTGTGTATCATAAAGGGACATAGGCACTGTGAAACAGTGGATTTTATTCCAGACATTGTTGAAAATATAGAACATAGTAAAGTCTTCCTAGATGTAAATGAAACAATTCATAATCAGTCTGTTTTACTTGCAGAACAAGGCGAAAAATGTAAAATTAATCAGGACAAACGTAAGAAGTTAAAAGATTCCGCTAAAGAGGATGTAAAAACAAAATGCCAAGAGATTCGTGACTGGTTGAATAAAAACGAGATAGAAATGGAGAGGAAAATAGAAACCAAATATACTGAACAACAACAAAGATTTGACATGGTCTCAAATGAGGTCACACACCTGACAAATGACCTTGAGAAGGCCAAATTAAGTCTAACCACAAAGAAAAACTCGAGTCAAAGATGTCAACTATTTGTAGCATTACAAAAAGCAAAGTTAACCACTAAAAAAGTATACACAAGGCTACAAGAGTTAGAAAAAATTAAAACAATTCAAAATTATCGTTTCAAGGAAGCACCATTCCTCCAAGATGTTAAAAAGCATACAGAATTAGGCATGCTTGAAGAAATAAAGTCAGATACAAAGAAAAATATAAAGTTTCTATATTCATTTGATACAGGTCTTGAAGGGAATCCAGGAAGAATGTGTATGATGTATGACAATATATTACTTCTTCAGAATTATTCTATAATGATGCTTGATCCAGGCAGGACACAACAACAAATCCTTTCTGAATTGAAATTGAATTCAACACCTGCTGACATTACAAAAATATCTCAGAGGGAAGTTGCAGTTACGTTCCCAGATGACGGTGTTATAACTATCTTTGATGTTACCCCTGAAGGACAAATCAAAGAAAAACAGAAAATAGATGCTGGGAGGGATTGCCATGGCATCCAATACTTTAAGAAGAGCTTTATAGTCACTTATTGCCACACTCTATCAGGATCTATCAAAATTATTGACATGTCTGGACACCTCATAAAAGAATTAGTTGGGAGCTCACCATTGGTGTTCCAACTTCCAATTGGTTTGGCTCTAAATCAGAGAAGTGGTATTTTGTATGTATCGGACAATAGTGATGATACGGTTACCAGTCTTACTTTAGACAGCACCATAATAAATGTGTATAAATGTCAACCTTTATATCTCTATGGAGTGAGCTTAGATGAAAATGGGTCTGTTTATGTATGTGCTTGTTGTCTAAAGGAAATTCACCAACTTTCAGACAAATGTAGTTTGGTTCAAATTTTGGAAATTGAATTTAAAACATACTTGCATGTACTGTTTTCAGAGACAAATAACTTAATGTATGTCAGCACATATCATGAGGGGATCATGGTATTTAAAACCCAAAATAATCTTTCATTTTAAACACAATAATATAGTAATTGTCATTTTTTATAAACATTTTGAATAAATTTTTGTGAAAGTGTGCATTTTTTTTAAATTTTCTTTTCTCATATAAAGTATTCATTAAAAAAAGAGACATTTAAATCAGAAAAAACCCAACAGTTTTGTTTTTGTATGTAAACATTTGGATCATGGGCCCCCATTTGACTTTTTAAGTTTCTTTTGTGAAGGAAAAAACGGGCCCCTCTCCATGCATTATGACAAAAGCAATTTTTTTTTTCGGTGTTTTATTTACGATATACTTCAATTATCTTACAGTTAAATAGGTGACATAGGAGCCAGCATCTTCTTTGATGCAATTAGAACAATTCACAACTCTAAAGAGCTTCTTCTACAAAAACAATAAGCTATTAATGTACATGTTGGCATTTTACTACACCAGGGTCTCCTGGAAAAGGCGCTATGTAAACCCAACTTGTGTCTTGATATTGATTTTTTACCTGAGAGTGATTATCATGTGTGTGGTAATATCACGGGACTACCAAAATATTTGTATGTTATACTGATAGGTGTTAGTGATTTATTGTGTGATTTATTTGTTTGCACATAAATCCACATTTTTTAATGTACATGTAGTTTAAACTTTAAAATGCCCATTGAAATAAATGGCTGATTTATTACTCACCAAATGGAAGGCAATCAAATATTTTTCAAAAAATGTAAACAATTAAAGGGGATATCAACAGACATTTTATATAAATGCCTTAGGTGATGTCATGAATGATGTAATTAGCAATGTGATAGTCTGCTATTCACAAGTAGAACAACCAACCGTCTGTAAGAGCTAGTTGCACTGAGTATATTCAAAATATTTACTCACAAACCTTCAAAGTTCATGTTCGTGATTTTTGTGAGTAACACAAACAAGTATCAGCAAGGCAATGTTTTAAAGTATTTTATTAGGTTGAATATCACATATATAATTCTACAATTTTACTAACAGTGCTAAATATGCTACTTGTATATCTATATTTCTACATATAAAAATACATTAAACTCTTTCTTCCTTTATTCAGTGAGAAAATAGTTAACAAATAAATGAAATACTAAAAATTCTAAAGCCTTAAAATGAAATAGTACAACCTTTGAGAGCAACACTTTTTGGGAAACTAAATTTAAGATTTTTGTTGTTGTTGAGAATTGTGTTGCTCTAAAGATGTCAGAATTTAATTGTGCAGTTTAACTTTGAGAAGATTTGGTATGCTTGTTGTTCAGAGGTTTAAGCTCTACAAAGATTCATTGTGCAGAGGGTGAACTGTATACATCAATTATTCTTCCTACTTGATAGGTGCAGTATTATTTCACTTGTGATCTGGAAAATTACACTTGTGACTTGAACAATCTCATAACATTTTATGTATAGAAATAAACTCTGACAAAAGAAATGTTTGCATTACTGAAAATTTCATAACCATACCTACTCTTATAAAGGCATTTTTCAAGAGAATAACATTTGAGAACAAGGGGTCAGGAATATAAAAAATAATGATTTCCTATAAAAATTTCAAAATATTTTGAAGTATTTAGAAAAGTTTATGGCACAACTATATTATTAAATAATGCAAATATATAAACAAAACATTTTTTTCCAACAATTTAATGTTAAAATAAAAGAAAATACTGGAATGTGTTTTGCCTTGAGAAACCAGGACAAAACAATAAGCTTTAAATTCAGACGTTTTTCAAGTTAAAGCCAACAAAAACACCCTGATTAGAAACATCTGTGCCAACATAAATGCTTGGAAAAAACATCAACACCACTGATTTGTTTTGCCTTACATCAATGCATGATTTTTAACTTAATATATAAACATAAGTATTTTTTCCAGCCAAATGGTTTTACAGCACACCAACACAATTTAGCTCATACTAAGCCAAAACAGGAGAGGTGATATTTGTAACCTTGGGGTGTTACAAGCTTAAAGCAACACCCTACTTGCTGGAGCTAAGAGATGCATAAACTTCAGTAATCCCCGACTCATTTATTTGTAATGTGGCAGTATAATATACACATGTGCATTATGCGTATCGAGCTTCACTTGACATGGTACCATATCTACCATGTTCTTCTCAAATGACTGTAAACTTCTCTACAACACTAAACCAAAATGATAATGAAAGATAAAACACTGTGGATATACAGACAAACTTGTCCACAACCAAATTACCATAAGAACAAGAGTCAAGCCGTAGGTTGTACTAAAAGCTTTGCAGACCAGACAAAACCTGTTATTGGCCAATATCTCAAGTGAAACTTTACTTGGATATTCAAGATTTGAAAATAAAACCATAAAATCATTTTATTCTAATAATACATTTTAATGATAAGTTCAGTTAAAATCATGTTTCTTTGTATTTTATTTCTTTTTATTAAACTACATGTATTTTAAGAAAAAGCACACTTCTTAACCAACTAATAGAAATACTGGTACATGAGATGATTCTACAAAATATCATCCTAAAATCTAATACATTGATATATGTAAACATTATATTTTACATATAACTGGCTATAAATATTCATCAATACACATTAACTATTTACAAAACAAAATTTATCATAAAATATAACGACACAAAACTAAAATAAAAGCAATAAATTATGACAGAAACAAAACAAAAATAAAGGAAGAAAACACAACAGAAACTAAAAAATTAAAACTGAATAGCACATGAAAATAAAAGTAATCACATGAAATAAATATAATCATAACCTAAAACAATATTCAAAAACAAACAATTATTTTTCTTTTACTTTTTAAAGAACATTATGTTATTACAGTGGTTTTTTTCCACAACAATAAAAGACTTAATTAAACATGCACATGAATTTTTCACAATATCTGCAAACTGTATAAGTCAGCTGACAAAGTCACAGATTTCTCTAAAGGCAATTTTAATATACAAAACTTCATCATTAAAAGACTTCGGCATTATTTTTAAAAGCAAAATACAACATTGCTTTTGAACATTATTAAAAATTAATATACAATTTTAGGCCCTTTACATTAAAAGATCATTTGTTTATGTAAAATGCTATTTTCACATCATAAAGTGACAAATTATAAAAAAAAACTGATTTTAGGCCTTTTTTAGGCTTTTCATAAGAGGCAATCAAATGAATAAGTAAAATGAGATGTTTAAACTTTCTGCTTTATTAAAGCAGACTGACAATGACATAAAGCTATTTTACAATTAATAATGTATTAAACAAACATGCCAAACCAGCATAATATAACAACACAGATCAACATTCTTAAGTAATTTCTTACAGGTTAAAAAAAACACCTTTCTGGACGGTATTTCAAATAATGCATATGATAGTGATATGTAAGTCATAGGCAGTTAACACAACAATCAATAACACAACAATATAGAGATTTTAATCCATTAATGAGTTTGCAAAGTACACCTTATTATAAAAAAATACTTTACTAACTAATAAGATATGTTTAACAGTATTATCATCAAGGGACGGTTTTTAATTATTTGAGATTTTTATATGGTATAAACTGAAGAGAAAAAAAAGCTAAGAGTATTAAAATAGGGCTACATTTAAAAAGAATATTTGCCAATAGATTATGTAGAAATATAAAGGAATAAAATCAAAAGACCAGACTGCAAAGGACCACTTCCATTGGTCAAATTTTAATTTTGAATCAGCCAATCCAATGCTAGAGCAATAAACTTGTATAGAAGTTGACAAAAAAAGTTCAATTTACAAAACTCAAAATACAGACACCTCAATAGAGGTAGATTATAATAATGTGTCCTATTTAATTTCATCAGGGCCATGAAAAACGCCTAAATAAACTAAATCTCAATGAATTTAATGTACTGCAACAAAATTCAAATTAAGATTTTATAGATAGGAATTAGCTGAAAATTCCAGTGAAACATTATGAATAGCATATACAAATGGAAAGAAATGTATTTATTAAATGCACAAAAAAATCATAAAAATAAGTTAAAAATGCACTTTTGTTGCATGTTTTCACTATATATCACAGAAACAAAGCACACTCAAGTTTGTCATTACAATATATGAGAGTTTGAAAATTTTATGTCAGAAAAATAAATTATCAAAATGATTGATTTAAAAATAACTAATATTTTGTTTCACATCTTCTTAAAATCAGATCAAAACACTACAACACTTCTTAATGTATCACACTTCTTTGCTGATTAAAGTTTTCTAGTTATACTTTCACTTCAGACTTTAATAAACTTCAAACATTGCATAATAAATAATGTTTAAAATGTAAATAGCTAAAATGTTAACATCTTAACATCAGACTTCAATAAACTTAAAACACTGCTTTTATAAATAAGAATCATATATGCTATAGACAGGCATACAATGATAAAAATAATTATTAAAGCTTAAAAGGTCTTTTAAAATCAGAGATAAAGCTAGAATGTAAATAGCTAAAATGTTAACATCTTAACATCATTTTAACAGCACACTTTACAAAGACATCACAAAACACTTGTATACAAAAAACATTATTATCTATAACAATATCTTAAAATATCAATAACAAAGACTTAAGAAATTCCAGTACAGAGGCCAACCACTTGTACTGTCTAGTTGTTTATATGAAACATAACTGCTAAGTAAGTCATAATTAACACTCCTGTTTTGAATTGATATGTACATGCATGTATTATTTTTTTATCATAACACCGTCTTTTATCTTTAAGTCATGCAGAGTTGAAGTTTTCACAGTAACGATGAGCTTTCACAATACATATTTCTTCATATCTGTTTATCAATCAAATTATCTTTGTCCATTCTTATTCCCTTTCTTATATACATAGAATATCAACTTCTATTGGTCAATTCAAAATTTCAATTAACCAATAAAATGCTTTGGTTATTAAACTGGTATAAACATATGATCATCAAACAGTTATTACTATTTGTTAATTTAAAAAATCTTAACCCTTTCGCTGCCAGAGGGTTATTGTTTTATTAATCACCTATTTGCCAGAGGGTTTTCTAAGAAATTACTATATTATTAATTAATATAATAATTATTATTATTTGTTATTAGTATTATTATAATTATATATGTTTCCAAATATGCTAGTATAATAATAATTATTGTCGATGGTATAATTTTCTTTATATTTATTATTATTTTTATTATTATTATTAATTCATTATTATTATTATGATTATTAAAGAAACGGCTAATGCCGTCCATATGGCAAATACGCCGAAAATAACAGGGACGGCTTAAGCCGTCCCTATGGCAGTGAAAGGGTTAATCTTAATTAACCAATCACATGCTATGATGTTTACAAACTGGTTATGAAATATCTAAATGTTTTCCAGATCAAGATCTTCATCGTCACTGATGTCAGAGACTGACACGAAAGAGTTTCTACTATGAGTGCTGTCAGACCGTCGTACATTAGCACCTTGTCCCATCCCTGCCGGTCCTGAAAACACACAAAAATTGGAGACTATCATTACAATTGCAAATATAGGAAACATTAATAGTGTTTTAATACAAAATCTATAGTGGTTTCATACCATGATGTATATATGTTTTCTCTCACAATTGTGCAGTTCTTAAGCAGTATAGGAAAATAGTGCTGTCTTGTAAGGACAAATAAAAATAGTAAAATCCAATAGCTACAGTTTATCAAAGGGATGTAAAGAACAAAACAGACAGCTATGACATTTAAAATATCTGTATTTCAAGTAAGAATCACAAAACATAATGCAAAGAATAAAATAATATGTATAAGATTCACTGATTTTATATGAAGTTTGAAACCCTAATATGATATAAGAATGTAGAACACTTAAACAGATAAGATTTAATTGTAATATATGTTGACAGTAATAAAAAAGTTTGGTTGGATTTTAGGTGGTAAGTTATACCATAGGAGAAATATAATGATAAACTACAAAGCTGCAAGCTAAAACTAAATACTAAAGCTAAATGCTAAATCTTCAAGCTAAAGGTACATGCTGTATTTCTAGCTACAAGTGCATTATATGGTGATTCTCTGAAATGGTTCTATGTGCTAGTAACTGCATGGGGTATTTAAAATTTGAATGAAAAAAAAAAAATTAATAATTAAGGACCTTTCCATTCTAAATATCATGACTAATTCTTTATTTGACAAAAAAATAATCAGAACAAAATTTGGCTTAACAATAATGAAAAAGAATCAACTTAAAAATAATATTGAATTTTCCTTGCACATATAATTATGTAATACGTAATTGTTTTGTTTAAGATATGCCACAAGGTGTCCCTGTTTTTATTTGTCAGATAAAAAAAATCAACAGACTTAAACTTAAATACTATTGATTTTCGAGTTAAATCTTGACCCAGCCTTTCATCCGCAATAAAGGTCTTTTTTGGGAATAATTGAATCAGGTTATTTCAAGATTTTAAAAAATTTGGAAAAAAACAAAAAAAAACTAACAATTAAATGCACTTGTTAGTATTTTTCTTAATAGACATGTTCTTACACAAAATTTTAAAAATGCATGCTTTAATGATAACATTTATTCAGTTTTAATTAACAATAAGTAAGTCAGAAAAATTAATTGATCTAGTATACAGCATGATGCCTTGTAAGAAAAATTAATTGATTTACAGTATAAAGTATGATGCCTTGTAAGAAAAATTAATTGATTTACAGTCTACAGCATGATGCCTTATAAGAAATTTAATTGATTTACAGTCTACAGCATGATGCCTTGTAAGAAAAATTAATTGATCTAGAGTCTACAGCATGATGCCTTGTAAGAAAAATTAATTGATTTACAGTATAAAGTATGATGCCTTGTAAGAAAAAAATTAATTGATGATGCTTTACAGTATACAGCATGATGCCTTGTAAGTAAAACATTAATTGATTTACAGTCTACAGCATGATGCCTTATAAGAAAATTAATTGATTTACAGTCTACAACATGATGCCTTGTAAGAAAATTAATTGATTTACGGTGTTACAGCATGATGCCTTGTAAGTGAGATAATTGAAATACAGTCAACAGCATGATGCCTCTAAAGTTAGGTTTAATATTTAAATATGTATACAGTCTAAACTATACTCACACTCATAAGCAGAAAGTGAATCTATGCAAAATATATAATAATGAAATTACTATAAATGTCCCTAAATTGTACTTTTTTAAACTATTATTTCAAGTTCTGTACAGGAAATCAAGATGAAGTCTTTTATTTTCATTAGTACTTGATTAGTACTTTAGTCAAGGGGAGATAATTCAAATTCTTAATTTTTAACAACATGATCTGACAGGTCCCATACTGGAAATTTTATAATAGGCTACATGCAGTTAACATAAAGCATATAAAAGCACATTGAATATGTTTATGATATTCTTCTATAAGTAAATAATTATCTACAAATAAATTTTTCTGATTCTTAGATAAAGTGACGTTACTCTTTCAATTTTGAAAGTTCAAACAAATAATGAAAAACATTAAATCAGTCATTCAAGATTTTGTTTATGAACTACCTGAATGAATTTTAGGATTTTATCAGAAAATTGGAAACTCTAGACACTTATTTCAGACAAATGCTCTTTTTTCTTTATTTTTTTATAACTAGAGCTATCTCAGGTACACAAAATGGGACAAAATATTTACCAAAATATTATTAAATTCATAATTCTCACTACAGGGTGAGCTTAAAATGGCTAATACTTAGCAAAAGAACACATCTACAAGCGAAATAATACATCTCTAATAACAATATAAAATCTAGTGCTAAAGTACTTACTCTAAACTTCAGTGGGTATAGGACCCTAATATATAAAATTGTTTGTAAAATTGACATTGTATATTATATGAGTCAAAAGTTTTGTGTAAACAGACAATTCAAGTACATTGTATTAGAAAACAATAACAAAATTTTCAGATTTAATGCATTAAGGACCTGAACAATGTCTACTTTGCTAGACACAACAATTTCCAACATATATTTAAAACGCAAATGATCCCACAAGAATGGATAATATTTCTTGTTTAACAAAAAAATTGTGCTTTTTTTGTTCCAGGAATGATATGAGTTTTCCACTCAAAATTATGATTCTGACATAAACATGTTTAGCAAAAATGCTGATTTCATAGGGTCTATATGATAAAGAAGTGACAAAAATGTTGACTTTAAATAAAAATTGAAAAAAACAACAATTTTATCAATTTTTTCAAAACAGGAATCTTTCAAGCTACATGAAATCTATAAAAAAAATATAAAAAACAGGCAACATATATAAAATAGAAGCCTCATATGATAGGTATTTTATATGATGTTTCAGTAAATGGTCTTATATACATGTCTAACATTATATGGGACAATAACATTTCCTTTACTGTAATATTTATACTATAGCATGCAACAGAAAATGAGTGATATGATCATTTCTGTACTGGTACCCACTACCCAGCTTTATAATACAGATAAGGGGTGGGGAACCAGCTTAGATTAGAAACCAAAGCAGACTTTGGTTTTGATACAAAATGTAGTTTTCATGTATATGAGATTGGACAAAATTTCAATGCAGTGAGATGAAATGTATGAGTATATGCCACTAGAGGCAGAAGTGAGTACATCAGTCTTGCAAGAAGAAACTAATATGTGTACACCAAATTTGCAAGTAGTTATTGACAAAGATTGACACACATTTTGCAAAAAAGTTATGAAAATGTGCACCCCTATTTAGCAGAAAATTTACTTATAGAATTTACACTCGTTTGGAGTGAAGAAATTGCAAAGAATATAATTATTAATATGGCAGTAAATATCAACAAGAGGGCCATGATGGCCCTGAGGTCGCTCACCTGTATATAGCCCCCCACCCATAAGAAGATGTTTCATGCTAAACATCTAAGCTCTAGCTCATTGGGCTTTTTAAAAGAAGATATCTTAAGTTTTTACTTATAATACACATATAGTTAAAAACATGACACCCCTGGGGCGGGGCCAGTTTTGACCCCAGGGCTTTTATTTGAACAAACTTTGAAGACACTCGCTAGAAGATGTTTCATGCTTAATATCTAAACTCTAGCTATTTGGGTTTTTTCAAAGAAGATTTTAAGTTTTTGCTATACACATATAAGGAAAATCAATGACCCCCGGGGAGGGGCCAATTTTGACCCCCAGGCTTTTATTTGAACAAACTTTGTAGACACTCACTAGAAGATGTTTCATGCTTAATATCTAAACTTTAGCTATTTGGTTTTTTTCAAAGAATTTTTTTTTAAGTTTTTGCTATACACATATAAGGAAAATCAATGACCCCCGGCGAGGGGCCAATTTTGACCCCAGGGCTTTTATTTGAACAAACTTGGTAAACACCTATTAGAACATGTTTGATGCTAAATATCTTAGCTCTAGCTCTTTGAGTTCTTTAAAAGAAGATTTTTGAAGTTTTTACTATATGCATATAGGGAAAATCAATGACCCCCTGGGGCGGGGCCAATTTTGACCCCAGGGCTTTTATTTGAACAAACTTGGTAGACACCCATAAGAAGATGTTTCATCTTAAACATCTAAGCTCTAGCTCATTGGGCTTTTTTAAAGAAGATTTTTTTAAGTGTTTACTATACACATATAGTTAAAAACAATGACACCCCTGGGGCGGGCCAGTTTTGACCCAGGGCTTTTATTTGAACAAACTTGGTAGACACTCATTAGAACATATTTCATGCTAAATATCTTAGCTCTAGCTCTTTGGGTTCTTTAAAAGAAGATTTTTTAAGTTTTTACTATATGCATATAGGGAAAATCAATGACCCCCGTGGGCGGGGCCAATTTTGACCCCAGGGCTTTTATTTGAACAAACTTGGTAGACACTCACTAGAAGATGTTTCATGTCAAATATCTAAGCTCTAGCTCTTAGGGTTTTTTAAAAGAAGATATTTTTAAGTTTTTTCTTTCGGTTGCCATGGCAACCAGAGTTCTGCATGGAATTAAATTCTTTGAACAATTTTTAAAGGTGAACACCAAAGGAACATTCCTGTGAAGTTTGGATGAAATTGGCCAAGTGGTTTATGAGGAGATGTCATTTAAAGTAAAAGTTTACGGACGACGGACGGACGACGGACGGACGATGGACGGACGCCGGACAAAAAGCGATCACAAAAGCTCACCCTGTCACTTTGTGACAGGTGAGCTAAAAAGGGAGAGCACTGATTACATTGAAAGAGTTTACTCAATATAAGAGATGTTGACTGGTTTTACAAACCTTTTGATGAAGATCCCCACAGACTGGTTCCGTATGTATTAGAGGAAACTGAGGCATCTACATGGCCCGTCGTTCTAGCTTGTCCCTGAGGTCTGAAAAACAAACAAAATGTTTGGAAAATATGGTTCCCTGAATGTACAATTTTGCATGAACAATAAAAAAAAAAAAATTAAAAAAAAGGGAGGCAATAACCCATCCAACGTCAATATGCTTAAAACTACATTTTATCTAGCTACAAACTTGCAGATAAGTCTGCCTTTTAACTTATATGTTTTGCAGTTTAACAACATATGCATGTATATTATATATTTCGATCAACTAAAATGAATGCTAGTGTCCCAACAGCACTAAAATATTGTACCTGTATGCAGATAAACAAGTAGATAAAGTAGTCATGCGCTGACAAAACAAGTAAACTGTCATATCTCTTCATAATGATCACATAGCAGTTTAGAATTTCACATTTATCTTTCAAACTTTACAAAGTTATGCACTATCTGATAAAGGATTAGCAGTTTAAAGGATATCATATACTGATAAAGTTTATATTTTGGAGGAACAAAAACAGTTTATAAGTGTAAACTTTTCAGTATGTATCAGCTCTGAAAACTTTAAACAGGAAGATATTGCCATTGAAAAAAGGCTAAGGTACAGTGAGACTTTAGGCTACAGCAAATATCAACAAAAATGACATCTTTTAATGAAAAAAGTACAGATGCTGCAGTTAATATTAGTTCAGATGACTTTGAGAAGACAGCTGATGCCACAGAAAAAGACAAAAGTACAGATCCTACCAAAAAAAGCAAACCTATGGATGCTACTGAAAAAGGCAAAGTAAGGATGTTACAGGCAAAAGCAGAAGTAGATAATACAGACAAAAGCAGAGGTATGGACAAAGAGATATTTTGTGATCCTTGTCAACGTAATAACAAGTATAAAATTGCAGAAGGATTCTGTGTGGACTGTGATGAACATTTATGCTCTAGTTGTTTTAATATTCACAAGACATTCCAAGTTTCCCAACATCATGTGCTAGTAGATAAAGATAGTGTGCAAGAAAGCAAAACGTCTGGAAATGTCAAGGACATCTGTGTAGACAGGTGTCTTTCACATACTGACAGGGTCTTCGAATATTTCTGCCAGTCATGTGACAAACTTTGCTGTTCTGTGTGTATCATAAAGGGACATAGGCACTGTGAAACAGTGGATTTTATTCCAGACATTGTTGAAAATATAGAACATAGTAAAGTCTTCTTAGATGTAAATGAAACCATTCATAATCAGTCTGTTTTACTTGCAGAACGGGGAGAAAAATGTAAAATTAATCAGGACAAAAGTAAGAAGTTAAAAGATTCCGCTAAAGAGGAGGTAAAAACAAAATGCCAAGAGATTCGTGACTGGTTGAATAAAAACGAGATAGAAATGGAGAGGAAAATAGAAACCAAATATACTGAACAACAACAAGGATTTGATATTGTCTCAAATGAGGTCACACACCTGACAAATGACCTTGAGAAGGCAAAATTAAGTCTAACCACAAAGAAGAACTTGAGTCAAAGATGTCAACTATTTGTAGCATTACAAAAAGCAAAGTTAACCACTAAAAAAGTACACACTAGGCTTCAAGAGTTTGAAAAAGTTAAAACAATTCAAAATTATCGTTTCAAGGAAGCACCATTCCTCCAGGATGTTAAACAGCATACAGAATTAGGCATGCTTGAAGAAATAAAGTCAGATACAAAGAAAAATGTAAAGTTTCTATATTCATTTGATACAGGTCTTTCACGATATCCAGGAAGTATGTGTATGATGTATGACAATATATTACTTCTTCAGGGTGATTCTATAACAATGCTTAATCTAGGCAGGACACAACAACAAGTCATCTCTAGCTTGAAATTGAAATCAAAACCTGCCGACATTACAAAAATATCTCAGAGGGAAGTTGCAGTTACGTTCCCAGATGACGGTGTTATAACTGTCTTTGATGTTACCCCAGAAGGACAAATCAAAGAAAAACAGAAAATAGATGCTGGGAAGGATTGCCATGGCATCCAATACTTTAAGAAAAGCTTTATTGTCACTTATTGCCACACTCTATCAGGATCTGTCAAAATTATTGACATGTCTGGACAGCTCATAAAGGAATTAGTTGGGAGTTCACCCTTGGTGTTCCAAGTTCCAATTGGTTTGGCTTTTAATCAGAGAAGTGATATTTTGTATGTATCGGACAATAGTAATGGTACAGTTACCAGTCTTACTTTAGACGGCACCATAGTATACGTGTATCAATATCAAAGTCAAAGTTCACATCTCTATGGAGTGAGCTTAAATGAAAATGGGTCTGTTTATGTATGTTGTTATCACAAAATTCATCAACTTTCAGACAAATGTAGTTTGGTTCAAATTTTGGAAATTGAATTTAAAACATACTTGCATGTACTGTTTTCAGAGACAAATAACTTAATGTATGTCAGCACATATCATGACGGGATCATGGTATTTGAAACCAAATAATCATTCATTTTAACACACAATAATATAGTGAATTGTCACTTATACATAAACATATTGAATCAATTTGTGAAAGTGTGCATTGTTTTAAATTTTCATTTCTCATATATACATACAAGTATATCATTATCATGAGACAGTAAATCAGATAAAATTCAACAGTTTTATTGTTGTATGTTAACTTTTGAGATCATGGGCACCTCACTGACTTTTAAGATTTACTTGTGAAGGAAGAATAACAGTGCCTCTCCATGCATTATTAAATCAGCAAAAAGATTTTTTTTTGTGTTTTATTTACCATATACTTCAATTATCGTTCAGTTAAATAGGTGACATGGGAGCCTATTCTTCTTTCAGCAATTAGAACAATATACAACTTTCAATGAGAACAATGCACAACTCTTAAGAGCTTCTTCTATGAATCACTAAGCTTTCAATGTACACATTGTAATTATACTCGACCCAATCATACTTTCCTGACAGACAAGCCTTAGTGTTATTCTTTAGTTTGGAACACCAAATAAGGAAGATCCATACAGTAATTTCCTCCATTTACGACAGGTACTCTTCTAACAGACCATCACTGAGGATGATAAACATACAAGGGTCTGATAGCATAGGAACTATCTCTAGGATAGGTTGAACTAATTTGAACAGGAATAATTTGTAGTAAAATAATGATAAATTATTTCTACCTTGATTTAGGTCTTGATGGTTCATCATCTTCTACAGGAGAAACATCCCAGTCCGAGTCTGAGTTAAATTCCTGAAATATAAATATTTCATCATAACCTGACATAGTAAATTACTGTTTAAACACAGAAAATCAACTTTACACCAAGAACCTGTATTCAGTGTCTCTACATATGTATTTTGCAAGTTATATTTAATCATTTGCTAATTTTTTAAGGTTGTAGATTCAAACCCTGCCAGGGTTGAAAAACTCTTTCATTTAGGGAACCTTTCCAGATAAATCATAGGTGATAAAGGGTAAGGGGTTCTACTCAGGTACCAGCTCATGTCTGAAATAATGCATTGAAAAACAACTTCTTGTCTACCTCTACCAGTAAGCATGAAAACATCACTTATGAATATATCATGCTCATGCCTATCTCCAAATCTAAATTCAAAACGTAGGTCAGAGTTACTTTAAAGCCAATCATGTTAGGCAGCGTAGGAGGATGTTACTCTTCTATTTCAGAAATAAAGAAAGCAAAATGGGGCAGCTATCAACAAGAGCTATTTAGAGAAAATACTCAATATCAAATGAAATATATGAAAACATTTTGAGCAGTGCCTGACAGGAAACTTTCATAACACAATGTAATAATAAAAAGTAGAGAAACTCACCAATATATCTTCCACTGCTTTCTTCTTGTTGCCCATGGTATCAACTCCACCTACAGGTTTAGCTCCGCCTTTTCTTCCCTAATAAGAATACAAATAGACTTATTACCTTGCAAATTCTTAACAAAAAGTTCTGTTTTAATAACATTAAAAACTACAGGAAATACAGGCATCACAATAACATAACAATAATATAATGCCAGGCTTTTCAATTTTCATCTACTTAATTTTATTATATTAAAATGTTTTTTATGTTTAAGAAATGATAAGAGGACTTACTGCTAGCTGCATTTCTATCGATCTGGACAGCTCAGCAACTTTTTGTCCCTTTGGCTGAGGGGTTTTGGTCACACTACCCGAGGGTTTGCTTGGGGAAACATCCAATTCACTGTAAACAAATTTTTGTTAGAATTAGATATCAAATAAAAGGAACTACCTGCAAAAATACTTCTAAGAATTCATTTTTACATGCATAGCTTCAGTTCACAAACAAAAGTTTCTTCCCTTTTACACAGTATACCGTTTCGCAACAGTTCTTATTTCATTTTGGCCAGGAAAATGATCATTTTAAAATAGAGACTAAGTCTTTTAATTGAAGCTGTTTTATTATAGTCTCTGATTCATTTTGTAAATAAAAGCTAAGATTATTTTGTCAAATTACAAAAGGGGCTTAACTCTAACAGAACAAATAAACAATGTCTCTTATATCAAGTGGTGTACTTTAAAGTGACATTATGCCTATCAATGGGAATACATGGCCAAAGGATTTTTTTGTAATATCCATCTGAATTTGCCTGTAACATTCAATTTATAAAAAGAGTTGGGTAGTCTTTTCATATTTTAGGCAGATTTATATTTTATCCGAAAACAAATTAAAGTAACAACCTTTGTTTAATCACCATTATAACAGTCAAACTTTTGATATATATAGTCAATTCAACTCAACTTGACAATGAAAAAACCGGTATTATGTCACTTTAAAACACTATGGTTTTGTTTGTGCAATACAACAATACAAACCTGTATTACGCATAATTTAACAAATTAAAAAGCAAAGTATCAAAAAAAAAAAAATTAAGTCAATACCTGTCAGAATCCAACCAATCATCATCATCTTCATCATCATCATTTAAAGGCTTGGAAATGACAGTTTTCACTTGTTGTCTGGGTGCAGGAGACGGTTGTTGTTGTTGCTGCTGACGAGATTGAGGTGTTGGAAAGCCTGGTCTTGATGGAGCAGGAGGTACAGACCCGGGTTTAGCTTGCATCACTGCAACTGGTCTTCGTGATGCAAAGACTGGTTCCTCTTCAGATTCAGTCTCGTCTTCTTCATCATCAGAGTCCCACTGGGTGCTTGTATAGTCCACACTGGAACCAGTCTTACGAAGAGGACTCTCAGCCCTCCTGGGGCTTGCGCCTCTTTGAGCAGGGCTTTGTGATCGTGCTGGTGCTCTAGGAGCTTGTTGGGTCCGGGCGGCAGCTTGTCGAACTTGTGGACTTGGACCTCTGACTGGTGAACCACTACTGCCAAGCCCAGAAGTAGGAATAGACTGTGAACTCCCATACCCTGCATTACTCACTGGTCTACGACCTGTCAAAAATGACACATAGTTTTAGTTTTATACTTCTTAATAACTTCTTTCACTCATTCTTAATTACTACTCCTTTTATTCTGTGAAACCAAAACATGACTTGCAGTTATATACAGTATGTTTAAAGTATCCCTTTTTTAAATTACATAACAAGTTAAGCTGGATATATATATTCATATATATTCAAAAGTTGTAGACCCTTCCTTACTAAAAGATTGCATCAGCAATTTGTAATCTTGTAAATTCAAAATTTGCTTTAACAGAAATTCATATTACATTAGCAATATTCCCCATTCAGGTCAATGAAAATAATTAAAATAAAAGAAGACATCTTTACCAGTGCTTGCAATTAACAATGCTTACTGCACAAATTCTTTTAAATTTTTCTTTCAAGAGAAAAAATGTTGACAAATTCATATTAATAGTTATAAAGATTTTTGACAGGATATATGGCGCTATATAAACAGTTGTTTGTTAATATATATTGCAATCAACCATTTAAATACCGCCATATAACTTGTAAATAGAGGATATTTGTTTGTTTTGCATGTAAGATTGAAATATAATTTCACTGAGTGAACACCAGATGCAATATTTTCAAGAGTGGCGTAGCCACGAGTGAAAATATAATAGCTGGTGTTCACAAATGAAATATATTTCAATCTTATATGTAAAACAAATAAATTTTCTTTTTATTTCATGCTTTTTAAGTGATTTTAAGTATTTTTTACTGATTTTGCCGCGTTACGTCGCGCATTCTCCTTTGTGACGTCATCACATCATGATGTCACAGCATCAGTTTTGAAATATAGTTCTGTTAAATTTCTCTAATTTTGTTACATTTTTAACATGATGTATGGTGGCATCGACTTTCTTTTCCTAAAGAAGCAAAATTTACGTATGACAGCATTTATTTCTGCCTGTTATTCCGTTTAGTTATGGTTCACTTTTCATCCGCATTCAGATATAGTCCGGCTTCAGTGAAAATTATATTTTATAAATTTCACAAGTGGTTTATCAGAATATAATCATCTGATATATTACAATAAAACACTGGAAAGCATGAAATAAGGAATTTATAATACTGCAAACTACCTTTTTTAGAGAAAAAAAGGGACATTTCTTCATAAATTGACAACAGCTGTGAATATAAAATCATATATCCAATGAAAAGCCACATAACAAATTTGCAGGATTATAAAAAAGTATTGTAATACATACTCGGGCCAGGTGGTGGGGATCTCTTCAGTGCCTTTAGCCTCTCTCTGGCCTGTGCCGTGGCAAAGTTGTCAAACTGGGACCTCAGGTCGGAGAATATTGCGCCATGATTCTTGACAAGAGTCTGTCTCCTGGTTCTCAAATGGGTCAGTTTACCATGTAATGTATCATCTGTGATGCCTTTGGTGCCCTGAAATATAACAATGACATCAAAACTTTGTATAATCCTTACACTACCATTGTATGCTGTATAAAATGGCTCAAAGACAGAAATGGCCAGGTTGCATTTGTATACCAAATATCATGAGGCTGCGATGTTATGAAAATTTTTCTACCATTGACCATCAAATTTATTTAAGTTCGTAAACAGGAAGCGGATGAGCAACAGACCTGAAATCGAATCCCATACTAGGGGACCATGTGTTAATGCTGTATACCAAATATCAAGAGGCTGTGGAAATAGTTATGGAGAAAACTGTTACGAAAAATTCCTACAATTGACCATTATTGTCGAAAATATAACTAAGTCTGTAAACAGAAAGTGGTTGAGCAACAGACTTGAAATCAACTCCAATGGTATGGGGCCATGTGTGATTCTGTAGAAGCTGTGGAAAGAAGTTGCTGAGAAAACTGTAACAAAAATTTCCTACCACAGACCATTAATGTCGAAAATTTAACTGAGTCGGTAAACAATAAGTGGATGACGGACAGACCTGAAATTGAATTCCACGGTATGAGACTAATTGCTGTATACCAGATATCAAGAGGCTGTGATAAGTAGTTGAAAAAACTGTTACGAAATTTTTTCCCAAATTGCCTGCCCAGTTATACTGCTTGTAATAGCTAGGTCTTTAACTTACAACATTTTTTCATGAATGTTCAATATCAAAATAAAAGTATTTAAATAAAAACAATAGAAATATGTAAAATATGTCTTGTAATTAAAGGTTGAGATGTGATTATGGCTGCTTATTTGTGCCATTTAGAATTTTCATCTCATCTCATGTAAACACTTGAGGTGGCACAAACTAGCCACCATACTGTGACTGTGACTTACAGGAGGTATTCCTATCTTCTCCAGCTGATCTTGTAACACTGACACCAGTTCATCTCTCATAATCTTCAATGTTGGATTCTTCCGTAACTGATCCAGAAACTGTGTTGTCCTTAATGTAACCTCTCCACTGTTCATAGTGCTGTAAAATTTAAATGAAATCCTTGAATCATTACATTTCTCTTTCTATACAGAACTACAAAATTTTGTAAAGTTTATATTTGTATTATTCTCTTGCCCTGAATGGAACTAGGATTAATCTCCTATGATTTTATTGGGATAACAATTGCATTATTTAAAGCCAGCAGTATGAAGTTAAGACCAGTAACTCTTTTTTAGTCACATAGGTTATTCATTACTGTCTTAGGTAAGTAAGGAGTTTAGTGAATGACAGTTTAGTTAGAAGATATTCATTTTGAGTAGATTTTTGTGGAATAATGCACAATTTAAGTTTAAATGTGTAGACCTTAGTAATAAAGTACAAAGCATTTAAACAATAAACTATGCATTATTCTACAACAATGCACTCAAAATTTTTAACTATTGAGATACTAGCATGCTAATAAAAAAAGAGAATTAATAAAAATATGTTGAACTAAATTGAGCATAGAAGTAATTTTCCTGATGTCATTTGGTTTATTGACGTCATATATGATGTCATATGTCAAGTCTACTCATAGATGTAACTATTTAAGAATATAATTGAGCCGTGCCATGACAAAACCAACATAATGGGTTTGCGACCAGCATAGATCCAGACCAGACTGCGCATCGGCGCAGTCTGACCAGGATCCATGCTGTTCGCTTACCAACCCTATTACAAGTAGAGAAACTGATAGCGAACAGCATGGTTCCTGATCAGACTGCGCAGGCTGGTCTGGATCCATGCTGGTCGCAAACACACTATGTTGGTTTTGTCTTGACGCGGCTCAGATAATGTTACTATGTTATGTATTAAATAGTTTTTCATTATGTCACTGGACCTATTCACAAGACTGAGTAAAAATTGACTCACCCTAGAGTTGCATTAGACCTGGCCGTCTCTAAAGCAGACTTCTGGTAACTAGACTGTGTTCCACTTCCTGTTCCAAATTCTGTTGTGTCATCCTCATCATCACTTGGTTCCATGCTTAAAATTCTAGTCTCAGTCTGCTGCTGTTGTTGTTGTTCAGCCTAAAACATTGGATGTAACATTTAAATTTTATCTTAAACATTTTTTATTTAAAGGGACTCCACTCAGATTCTTTTGACATGACAGAACTGGAAATAACTTTTCGAGATTAATGTTCCATTTGATGTAGATCTAGACAATTAATTTATATGCAAAATTTCAGATCATTTGCTCACTTTGTGGATCCGGTGTACATATATATAAAGATATATTTTTTATCTCAAAGTTACTTCTTCTAACCACATCATTTTTCAACAATGATTTAAGGATTCCAGATATGGTGAAAATCAACCACTCAAATGCTGTAATAATAAATAACTGACCAAAAATCTCTAAAAATATATACAACAAAAGAGAAGAATTTTCAAGTTTTCCAATTTACATCAAAAAGGTATCATAAGCACCTAGTCAAGACTTTTAATTAAAAGCTACTAGAAATATAAACTGTACCATTTCAAATAAATTAATATAAAAAATGAAAACTTACAGATCTCTGCATTTCTTCCTGAATCAACTGTTCTTGTTCTCTTGTTTGCTGAAAAATTAAAATAATAAAATACAACACCATCATTATAATTATTCAATGTAATGATTCAATTCATTTTTTATGATAGAATGAGAGTGATGTTCTTAATATAGATGCAATGTTTTCTTTATTACTTCTTAGTGATTTTAGTTTAGTTTAAATTTTAAGGGTGTACTCAAACACGCAAGGAAATACGAACAATATATTCTGTTAATTTCAGTGCTGAATATTTTTTTTTTTTTTTCTGAATTTTGGTCGGTAAATGTACCTTTCTTATCAATGAGAAGAATAATCCCTACAAAATGTGACCTTAGTGCAGAAAGAGGTTAAGTCCATCCTAAATTTAAAATTTAATTTAATATCAAACTAAATTAAAGGCCAGTATTTTTTTTTAAGTTTCCAGGTATTTTTTATAACAAATATTGAACACAATAACAAATAGTTATGCCATTTATCAGTCTATGCTACAAATTAACATTATACATGATTGTAATAAACATAAAACATGGATCTTAAGATCTTAACCAAATTTTAGCACCTTTGAAATGACAAAAACTAAAATTAGAGTGTAAATGAAGGCTATATTTCACATATTTTAAAACTCCATTAGTCTGAAATTCTGAAATTTAACTTTACAATTATGGCATCATATTGAAATGGCTGAATAATATTATTCACTTAAATGATACACATTTATATATTTTTGCTTGGGTTTTACGGTGACTTTCCAGCTTTACTGGTGGAAGGAGACCTCATATGCCCTTCTATGCATTATTTCTGGCACCAACGGGCACCCAAGTTATATACATTGTATTATACATTATTGATAACTACTTAAGGTATGAGCCACCTAATGCATTACCTCCACTTTGAAGAGTACTCAAATAGGCTAGAACTACTGTCAACTGCATTGTAACTGAGGGGCGCGGGTTCAAGCCCCAGAAGAGGCAACTTTTTTTTCTTTCTTTTTTTTTTCTTTGAACATTATTTGTGTTTCTCAGATCACTCTTGATAAGAAAAAAGTGTTTCATTTTAATTATAAAATTATTATTGGTATTTATTGGCTAAATTGTGCCAAATTTTTTATCAAATATGGTACCTGATATTTTCAAAGTCTAATAAAATAAAAACTAGACGGTAAAAGTATTTTATATTTGACAAGCGCATCCAATATACTTTTAAGAAAATTTATGCAAACTTTGAAAACAGCCCCTGATTTGAGTAAATTTTAGGGATATTTTGAATAAGGCCCTCCAAGTAGAAAAATGATCAAATAACTACTTAAAATGGGTGGGGTAGGGTAACATTTATATACATATTTCAAACATTTTGAGTAGAAACAATAATTTTGCTGGGTCATTTGTTAGCTGAATGCTATTATTTGTTTCTGAAATATTTTCTATAGGAAAACATTATTTCATAATGATAATATAATAGAATAATAAGAGTTTCTCATTTCTGAAAAAGAGCCCTTTTAATAGCCAAGTTTAACTTTAGAAAAATCTCCATAACTCAGAAACCATATGGTAAACTTTGTTTAAATTTTGCATTCTTGTGTCTTTTAAGGTATATAACTGACCTATGTTGTCAATTTTGTAGTTCCTTATAGTGCCCATTAGGGGGCTCATACCTTAATACAGACTATCACTGTTACCATTATTTAGAGGTTACCTATTATATGGATAATGAGACATTCCTAAGCAAAAAGACAACAATTTTTTAAACAGGTATGATAACATATGTTTGTTAGTTGTATGTAACAGTCTCTAAAATGAAGATTCCGCTTAATTTACAGCAGCATGCTTTTCAGTAAAACTCTGAAATTAGTGTTTATAACAATCTATGTAAACTGTTTCAAGCTATAGACATGTATAATTATGAGTAAACTCAAGGCAAAATGTGGGTGTTAGTATGAGGGAATGCAGTTAACCCAAAACACTAGAGGAATGAATGTTAATGAAATCAAGAATGAACATGGATGAACAAATGGTGAATTCATGTTGTTTTTGGTTATTATACCTTTGGCCTTTTTAAAGCACTTTTGGGTAATTGATAATCTTTTGGCTGTAATGAGTATATAAATGAAACATGAATGAAAATATAGTTATGAGAATCTTATGCACTGACTGATTTAAAGTTCAATATGACACTACCATAACTTAATTTGGTTTCAGGATATGTTATGACAAAGATACAATGAAAGACTATTATATATTAATTAATTATTAAAGGTACATGATGTATGTGTTTTAAGTACATGTGTATAAATGAATAATGTTCAATGAATCTGCAAAACAAGTTAACTGAAAAAGAAATATGATATATGTTACTAAATAAAGAACTAAACATTATCTTTACATTCCATTATCAGTCCAATAAAAAATCTTGTAGACAGATATTATGACAAATAATTTAGGCCATGTCATTATTCAAAGCGATAAAATAAAAAAAAAGTTGTTAATCTGTAAAATGAATGTTTGGAAAAAAACAACAGAAAAATGATCATATTACACTGGATGCCATAACAAGACACTGTGCATGTAATACTTTAACATTGTGATAAATTGTAAACATTTCATAACTTTAAAACTGCATCTGTGCTATAACATATTACAATGTGAAACAACCATACTTTCAAAAGTGAAACCATTATGTGGTAAGGTGAATAATCAATGCATTGACAGTTTTTCTTTCATCAACAACAGCACAAATGATACATGATGATAATACATATAGTAATAGCCTTGTTTTCAGATTTGAAAAACAAAGAAAACCCATTGTGCCACCTGCTTTTTTACTCTTTAAAAGCTGTGGTCAAAACTGACAAACCTGTAGAGAATATCAGGAAAGATGACCAGCCTTTTATTTGACATTCCGAGAAACTGTCAGTCAGCAGCTCAGTATTGGTATTGTAATCTTATCCAATCAATATTAACAATGGAAAAATTCTTAATTGGAATACAATGTCATTAAGGCAAAGGTCTCGATTTTTCAAATATGCCAAGAAATATGCACACAGAGGTGAATAATCACATGCCCATGCCAAAGTGTCCATGCCTATGTACCCATGCTGATGTGCCAATGTTTTAACACTGGTTATACCTTCATTTCCTTTACATCAGTGTTTACTTCATCCTCAGACACTGATGTCTCCGATGATGAAGGTGATGGAACTGAGAGCTTTATCTGAGGATTTTTTGTTGGAGGTTTTTTCTATATCATAAACATGTATAGATTAACTTTACATCAGGAAAAAAAATTATAAAGGGATTTTAAGAATTTGAATCTTCCATGCTGATTAAAAATTAAAAAAAAAATTTTGTCATAAGCTAAGTCTTTTTGGCCTTTGGTTTTTTTAAACCTTTTTCTTTTGCGTAAACCAGACAAACTTCCTTTTATTTTCGTATTTTTTCACCAAAATAAAATCCAAACATTTGATAGTCAATTAACACGGTATCAACTTATCCAAACTTTGTGCAAAATATCCTGAATTCTTGTTTTTTTATTGTTATTTTTTATCTTTCTACACTCCATAAAGAGTTACCTACCCTGATTAGCTCTTGAACCTCTTCTTGTTGTTGTTGTACCAAGGCCGAGTTTTCTCCCTTCGCTTTCCTTCTAGCAAGCTCTTGGCTAGTTTTTTCTAATGCACTATTCAACTAGAAAATAAAATAATTTCAATATTTGTACACAACTGTCATAACCTTAGATATGTTAGATATATTACTATAACCAACACAGTACAATAAATGGCTTGCACCTGATAGGGTTTGAAACCACACTGCCTCAACCCTTAGATTACTAGTCTGATGCGCCACAACAACACTTAATAACTATACACACTTATATGTTGTTTTACAAAATTTGTAACTTACACTTCATTTAATATATATTAAAATAATTAATTCTTTAAATACCTTTCCAAGGTCGTTTGCATGTTGTTTTTTCATCTCATTCACCTTTCTCTGCCAGTGTTTATCTTGTTTTTCTATCTTGGACTGTACAGATGTCTCTACATTGTGCATCTGTTGAAATATCACAATATATCTATACATTACTATACTATATTTGCAGATACAATTTGGTGATTTTATTTACTTGTTTGCTTGTATTATAGGGGAACTGAAGCTTAAAAGTATTCGAGTCATCTTCAGGGGGCAGGTCTGAGTTGTTTTTTATTCTTTCATCTTTTTTTCATTCTTCAATCAGTTAAAATTAAGAATACAAAGCTCAAGATAGATTTCAAAGAAGATATTAACCACTATATACTTACGGTCATGTTCTTTTTGATGAAAGTTTATAAATTTATTGATTTTCTTCAAAATTTTATTTTTATCAACATACCTGATCTTGTAACTGTTCTTTCAACATGGCCACCTCTTCTCGTTGTTGACGTAACAAGTTCCTATCCTCCTCGTCATCTTGAAGGTCACCGAGATTTGACCTTTTCTTCCCACCTTTCATCTCATTGAGAACCCTCTCTGATGCTTGATATTTCTCGTTCACATCATGTAGCTCCTTCATAAACATTTCCTTCATTCTTTCCATCTCATTCTGTAATAGTTTCCAATTTCATTTTAATTTTCAATGTATAACTCTTTAAATTTTCAATGGATAACCATTTAAATTTTTTAATGGATATCAATTTGAATTTTCAATGGATAATCATTTAAATTTTCAATGGATAACCATTTAAATTTTCAATGGATAACCATTTTCTTTTAATTTTCAATGGATAACCATTTTCTTTTAATTTTCAACCATGGATAACCATGTCAGATACAGGAAAAGAAATAAATATCAGTCTAAGAGAGAAATATCTTAGAATATTTATACAAGAAACAGTGCAGTGGTAAAAGACAGAATGTATAAGACTATGTCTTTGTCATTAACAATAACATCTTATTATTTATTGAATAAGCCACTTTACCACATATCTGAAGCAGTGAACATATACATGTAGTTTTATGCATAATATTGTACAGAATATGTAAATTTCATATACTTCTCAATATTTTTTATTTCAGCTTTATTCAATGCCAACTATGATGTGTATTCAATCATACTGTATACAATATACACATATATATCTACACATACCTGCTGTTCTGGTGACAAATCCTCATGCTGTTCAAATCTTTGACCAGTCTAATAAAATATAAAAAAAATCATGTTTTGAACACTAATTATAAAGAATGTCAATCCTTCATCATTATAATCAACATAATTATGCAAGACCAAAACATTTATTTAATAAATCAGATTATGAGACACCTTAACATATGATTATAAAATGAAATAAATCCAAGAGATACTTGATGATAAAAGAATGGGAACAAGCAAGATAAATCAGGTACTTCAGAATAATTTTACTTCTAAATTAGAAAAAAAATTTTGCACTCACTTTTTCAATTTGTTTTCTTGCTTTTCTTTCATGATGTAATTGAGACTCTGTGTGTTTTAATCTTTCCCTGATTTCCTGTAATTCTTGCTCTAAAGCTGTGTTCATTTTGATTGGACCTTGCTGTGGTGCTGAGCCAGGTTCCTGACCCGAAGAGTCCTTGCTACTCTGTTGAGCGTATTCCCCATGCCGTCTCTGTATATGAGACTGGAGAAATGAGTTGTTTAAGAACGCTTTTGAACAAAAGGGACACTGAAAAACAAGAGCAGAAAATATAAATTAAATATGTTATTTCAGGAATATATTGTATGACATATAAAATTCCAAACTACTGCAGCATTTATTAATGGTAATGAAGCAGTGACGATAATGTTTTCATAAATGGTAAACCAAGTATTAGAAGCTACAGCAAATATCCAGTAACCTTTAGTAATTAATAAACATTACACCTTTGTTAAAACTCTATAAACACAATATTATATATTTATGATATCATACATAATGGTAGCTATAATAAAACATATACATGTATGTCTTGTGCTACTAAAGACATACTTATACAAAGTTTCAATGGTGCACAGTTTATAAGACATTTTTCCTTAAAGTTGAACCACTACTTATAATTATTCCAGCAATTATAAAATGGAACAATTACTACAGGTAAAGTTACCTTATTGTAGCTGCCTGACCCTGCATGTATAAGTTGTTGCTGCGCTACAAGTAACTTTTTACGTTTATGACTTTCTTTCTTTACTGCTGTTAGCTCTTCTTTAAGTTTGGCAAGAGTGGCTTTCGTCTCTTCATGTTCCTACAACATGTAAGTAATAATGTGTTGAACAACAACACGGTATATTGAGCATTTAACATGCACAGATCACAATACAAAATCATTTTATCCTAAAAAATCATAAAATTACTTTTATCAGTATGATAAATAGCTTGTAAAGTCGATTTGGTGGAGAGAACAATTGTTTTTAACATCTACTGTGAATTTCATGACTGGTTTATACTTGGGGAAGCAAAATGAAGTGTTGGGTAATACATGAACATCTATCTCTTAACCCTAAGAGAAAACACCCTATGTCACCTGTCAGAAAGGTCCACACATAAAATTGAGATCATTTTATTTTAGTCAAGAAGTCTAAATATCATGAAACAATGTTACAGGACTTATGTGTCACCAATATTCATTTTTGATGAAGCATACTCGAGAAAGACTTCAGATCTGCTTTTAGCTTTTATCAAAGTCAAGTTATTCATAACAGTACAGTCTCTATCTCAATCAGAAACAAATGTATATGTATTTATAAAAAAGATTTTATAATATATTTTAGAAAATTACATATAACTTACCTCATTTGATTTTTTCAAGCTACCTTCAAGACTACTCAACTTGGAAGTGAGAAATTCTTGTGAGTGCTGGAAATAAAATTGAAAGAATATTTTACTGTATATTTTCTATACAAATAATAGTTTGGAAAAAAGGAAAAACAATTTGCAATGACATAGATCAATCGACCTCTTTTATATCACATGATACGTTATTATTTTCTGTTCAGTAGGGTAAGGGTTGAGAGGGTCATAAGCTAAAAAATTGCTCATAAAATTATGGGACCAAAATAATTGAATATCATAATATTACTTCTAGTTATTTTTATTTTCAATGTATTTCAATAAAATAAATTTTCTTTCAAGAATAAACAAATGAAGAAATTTTTCTTTTAAGAATGGACAAAAGAATGTAAAATTTTGTATCAAGTTTTATCAAAAAAAAAATTAAATATTCTAACAAGTAGACACAAATAAAAAATATTGTTATTTATAATAAGTTATAAATAGCTGACTTTCATCCATTATTAAAAGATTAACTTTTCTATTCCATTAAACTGTTAAACCCATAAAAAATGGTGTTGATTGTATTTTGATGGCATTATTTTGTGAAAGATTAATAAGATTGTTAACCTAGATACAGTTTTCACCCACTTGTATAATCTTACATGTTTATAGATATTGAACCAATATACCATGCTATAATTCCTGTTAGAACATGACAAAGAGTGGTTTATTTTCTAATCCTGATGTTATCAATTTATTTATATCTAGATAATTGGTTTGTTATCAACCACCTGCTGCTTCTTATCCTCTTGAAGATATTATGTGAATTAAAATTATTTTCATGAAAATTTTGAAAATGTATTTAAAAGTTAAATATTGTGAGGTGTACACAGAAAGTAAATTGCAAATGGCATTTCAAATCCATATAAATTACCAAAAAGAGGTCAAAATATGCAAAATAACCCTTACGCAAAAATATGATAATGAATACTACAAAATTAGTTATTAATCCCATATACATGTAACATGTAAATTATTATATGAATCTTTAATCTTTTCACTTTTCTTAAAATCCTAGTACACATTTCTAAAGTTTGATTTCCTTGAAAAATAATGTTTATGCATTTCTGAAAATATTATATTTTGACTACTTGAAATATTGTTAGATTGAGGCATTTTGTTTAAAGTCCAATTACATTAATAAAACGTTACTAAGTTTTGTAAATTTTATACATACCAATAAATATTCTATTGACAACTGTGCAAGCTTGAAAATCTTCAAGAAATTTGGATCAACCATTCGCATATCCTACAATTCAAATGTATATACAAACATGATCTCTTTTTTTCCAAATGACTGTAGCTTCCACCAAATGTTATTTTATTGTTGGTTAACACAATAGTTTGCAAAGTTTGTAAATATTTATGCTAAATAACAATTGGTACATTCACCATCTATAAACTCTAACATAATTCATCATAATTTAATAGGATTACCCAAATAATTGCACTAAGATGACTAATTATAAATGTGCATCCTTACAAGAAATGCAAAATCGTCTTAAATATTATTTCTGTAAATCATTTTATCAATTCAATATATCTCTAAAATTGATCAATAGTTTTATGTAAACAGAATTAGCATTAATTAACTTGTTAAAATTTCCGAAATAAGATTAAGAGAAATCTTTACACACCATTTCCCCTTCAATATTACAGAAGGTAATGTTCATAATATTGTCTTGAAGGGCATTGAAATCAAGTGTTCGAGCAACAGCATCAATGTCTATCGATGCTATCCTTCTCCAGTCAATCTTCTCGAAACGTTTCCGAAATGCGAAACTCCGCCCATTTGTCTCTGGAGTCTGTTGAAAGCTGGGACCAGGATAGGCACTGTCATAAAACTGACTGCTCTGGTAGTGCATGGCCGAGGGAGGGGGCATAAATTTTGTAGCCATCTACAACATAACAAATTAAGTATCATCTCAGTTATCATAACTCATATACTTGTTTGATGAAAAAATGAATTAAGTGGATCATGATAAAACAGCATAATAGTAAGATGACGTAAGGTTTTAGAAATTATTCTTCAAATCTTATTAGTCACTATGTTACAGTATAGAGTTTCAGACAAGACAGATTAACATATTTTCAATGTGCTTTGGAACACCAACTTTTTTAGGTTTGGGAGTCCAAGGACTACTATTTCGAAAAATCCCAGTGAGAACCCTGATTCACTTTGACTAACTAGTGTTCCTGACAAGCATGTACAATGAAGATGTATCAGTGATACGTTCATAGAACAGAATAACTTTTATTCCAATCAAGGGTCATGTTAAATGACATATAAATCACAATAATAATGAGATCAAATAAAGACATTAAAAAAACTAAAACTTGATTTGTATTATATTAACAACAAATTGAACAATGAACTCAAAGAAAAACATACAACTTTCCACTATTTCATTTATTTAACATTTTCATTATGATCAGAATTCTATTAACAATGCAGTGTTCGAAATTAGCAATAGTCCGATAGCCCCTGACTACTAAATTTCTCCTTGGGCTACCAACTTTTCACAGTAACAAGCCCGAAGAGACTACTGTATTTTCAGAGGCACTATAAACAACTGTTTTGAACAAATGAATCGTGCTAGTGAAATGTCTTTTGGGCTAGTGTATATTTTAATCTGGTAGTCCGACCGGCCTAGTGGATTCAAATCCGAATTTCTTACACTGACAATGATTATGGATATCAAAATAACACTTTTTTTGAAGAAATATTACTTGAACTACTTTGTACAAAATTAACTGAAATAAACACTTTCAATGATGAAACAGTACTAACTAGATCTACTATAGAAATAGGAAACTCTGAAAGCATCATTAAATTTATATAGGCACACTTATATGATAGTAATTTGAGTGACTTACCGTCTTAATTACTCCAATTATTAATAATTATGACCATCATAAGGTTAGATGTTGCCTTAATATGCTGTGTCAAACATATCTTTAAGTGTGAAAAACATGTTTAGGCATGTTCTCACAAGCAAGTAAAAACGTAAACAATAATAATCTGGGGATAGTGCTGTTTGCAATTAAACTTCAACTTCATCCCGACATGCGCAAAACAATCAATTAAGGTTGTTTCACTTCATATCATTGGCGTTCTATTATTTCACACCTGTTGATGCACCTGAACATTTTAGCGACCTTAGTAACATGACCTAAAGACGACCAAAGTGAAACAGGGGATTATAGAAAAGTATAATAATAAAGTTGCATTAAAGAAAATAATTAATAAATGATAAAATCAAGATTACCTTTTACATTTTTCTGTTATGAAGGGCTCAAATCACTAAAAAGTACAAAATAATTCCCTTGTTTCAGCTTGTATTCTCCATATTGGAATTCGATAGACTGGTTTAAATTACAAGTAACGCTTTCTGCCGTATCGTACCGTACATATAAATTTGTTTCACGATATTTGAGAGACAAGGTGTGTATACAATGCCATTGATGGTAATAAAGGTCGTGATTGCATATTCATTGAAAAATAACTGGTATTGATGCTGTTGAAAGTTCGTTTTTATATGATGTCGATATGTCTTCTTTCTCTCAGACGTATATCTCATCAAAGGTTTCTTAAATTGTTTATGCTAAAAACAACCATATAATGGCGTCGTCAGTATACACCATTTGAAAGTTAAATATTTATCTATTGCTGCATCTAAAACATTGATAACTTTTTATGCCGTTCACAGCAAATATATCCATAAAGCCAGGTTTTCGTCATATGCATCAGTTAATAAAAAGTTCTCTTCAAAAATGGTTTTATTTAAATATTTTATTTATTTATTTATAACCTGCAGCCAAAGACAAATGTATAAGCTTTCTGAAAATGTATCATTTATTGACATTGATATTTGGTTAAAATATAGTATAAGTTTTACTAGCACGCATGATATCTTAACTGGCTAGGCAGTTACCTATCTCTGATATACATGTATGTATCTGATTATATACATAAAAAACTTATTTATTTACATGCCAATTATCTTTTTACTTTCAAAAGCGTTTCTATGGCTAGTACACCAACTAGAAAGGTCTTTGAGCCAAGAAATTTCCCATTGTGTGTAATATTAGTTAAATTTTATCCATTCTTAAAATTTTTCATTGACTCCTAGACTATATGTTGGTATTTTGTTTTCAGTTTTAGCAGAAGAAAACCTTTCATAGGATAGCCGATATTCAACACATTCTCATTTCACAACTTTTTACTTAATATCATTATCTGGTATATAAAGTTCAGAAATGGCTATTAAATCAATTAAAGTATTCATTTTTCCTGGGACTGAGTATTTTTGCAACGAATCCTTTGAGACAGTACTTTACACGTTTTATTTATTTTCATTTATTTTTACTTTATCTTATTTATTTTTTATGGTTTAACAGCACCAACTTTCTTGTTTTCTCAAGATGTGTATTGTGAGAGATAGGCTGTATTATTATTTTCCCTAAGTAAAAATATATTAATGCACTATTTTGTATTATCTTGTAAACGCCCTTCTGGATGAATCAAGTACAATACATGTTTGGGGTGTAAAATGAAAAAAAAACGAACAACCAATCATAGTTAACAAAGACTATAAATTTGCATTTATCAGTATAGAATTTAAATATTTAACGTGTATATTTGTCATTGGTTGGATGCCCATCTTGGTTTTTGAGACTTAAAATAACACGCACAATTTATGCACCAATATCTTAAGGGAACCTAAGGGATATACATAAGAAATAAAACTATGACTTTCACTTGAAAAATTAGTTCAAATAACTTTAACTCTACGTAGCATGCCGAAATCAATTCCAGAACCTTAATTTCGAGAAAAACGTGCAAAGTCTGCACTAATACAAGTTTATCCATGATGCTTGCATCCAATAAATATACAATTATGACGTAGTATCTTTATCACAAATATACTTTGTATTTTAGAATAGAAAAATATAGTGATATCATATATAAATAAAATTAAATGTATAGTGATTTATACCGATGCAAATATTTAAGATAATCTTAACCACAGAAACTGTATAAAAAAGAAAGAATCGTGTTAATAATTTTTTCGTTCTTTTAAGACTTTAAAGTCAGACTTAGATACAATATTAGAACGACTGTCCATGAATAATGTGTTGATTAACCTATATGTAATATTAAGTCCCAATCTAACTCGCAAGGAACAATAGGCAATTAAGGTAGATTGTCTGACAGTATACACATATTATGTAATTATTCAAATGATTAACCATTTTTTTTTAAAAAGAATTGCAGTATATTTTTTCCTACAGTATTTAGGTTTAGAAGACAATTGAGTCAGTCTCCATTCACAGATAAATTTAAGTTAACATATCTCTTAATTTGCTACATCAACGTTAACAAAGACTGTAAAATATCTGCAGTTATTTGTTACATTTGTTAGATATGTCGACCTACATTTCTTTGCTTTTGTAGTGATAATAGAAGGCTCAGTACATTATTTTATAATAATATATAATATAAGGCCTGTGAAAACGTCATGTATATAAATACTATGTTATAGTACTTAATGCAAATTTTCGTTATCTGTACAGTTCATTTCCAGAGACATTGCTAATACATTTGATGTTTGTCGAGAAGCCAATGTTTATCTCGATGATAATTTAATATATTATCGAATTCCTCATGTTGCATAACTTGTGACGTTTTGCCCTATTCTAAGTTAGTGTGACAGGAATACCTCCCGTTTTTACCCAGATTATTTTCCAACAGAAAGTATAAAGAAACAAGTGTTAGGTTCAATTCTGTATTTATTTTCTTATCAAAAGTCTATTTTTTAATTTAAAGTTACAGCAGGTATATATATAAACATTAATATACGTACCTGGTTACAGGTAATTTACAACTCACATCTTAAAACTCAATATAAATAATATATTTTTCCATCTAACTAACAAGCCACATTTTTAAGTAAATTGAAATGACTTTTGGCTTTTAAAGATTTAGAAACCGCGGTCAAATTATAAAATAATTCCCTTATTTTCAACTAGAAATTGGCAAATCGCCAAGTTCTAACAAAAGGGAAGATGTACCTTTCGAGCGTCTGTGAACCAGCGGCTAAAACGAACATTTTCTGTCAATTTGCATAACAATTCTATGCACAAATTTAACACATGTTGAGGGGATTTACAAAAGTAGCTACTGATAACTGTCTGATATACTATGCAAACAATACAGTAAATTTTTGTTGAATGACCCGATAGTAAAACTGTGTATCATAAAGATGCATGAATGATTTCAACATGTAATTTAGTACTGAAGTAAAGAAATAAATCTATAAAATAATTTACTGCCATATTAAGACTAAACATGAAGAGTTATAAAAGTTATAAAAATCATTCCTGCCACATTAGTGTACGGTGTAAACGTACACCAGCTTTTATAAAAACCTTCAATGTCAAACCAGTCTGCTATATTAACCCGGAAGTAAACATATCAGCCAATCGAGTTAACCCACGAGTAAATACACGAAGTATTAAGAAAGTTAGCAAACATTTTCAGATGATGCTGACAAGCTATTGTTAACAGAAATGTTGTCGAAAGATATAATTAAAGTGATGAAATCACTTGCACTTTTAACACTATCTCTGGATTTCTTTTTAGATGGTAAATTATTCATGTTATTGTGGTAGATCTATGACATTTATCTTGCATTCTTGATAATTTTGTACAAAAACAATCTTTTCATATCTTCTATGGGATTTGTCAGTGGTGTCAGTTGCTTTGAAATGTAGACCTATTGCAGGATAATTTGACTTTTGGATATGTGATAAATATTTTGTTAAAGTTAAATTTATATTGTAGATCTAATTTTTTATAATTTCCTATTTTCAAAGGAAATAATTTTAATAAATACTTATTTTTAGTTAGAACTCTGTTGATACTAGCTCTATTATCTATAAAGATCCATTTACGTAGACAGTAGAATCTTCTTGCATTACGGTAAAGAACTGATAAGAGAAGAAAATCTGTATTGACAGATATCTTGATTTGTGGGAATTATTTCAAGAGTCGCGGGTTCATGTCATGATTAATATGAAAAAGGCGAAGCCTAAAGCGTGCTCGATTTTCTTTTACCATGAAATAGTATAAAATAATTGTTCATTTTTATTTTACATTTTCCGTTTGAAAATTTTCATTTGGTATTTTATACACAGTCACTGCTTCCGTTTATTCTGGTTCCCTGTCCTATTATAGTTCCCATAAGTGCGCAGGACACCGGTCTACGCTTCCGTTTTCAATCAAATATCTTGGTTTTTATCGTTTTTTTGTTTTTTTTATCTAAATATAATTCGAAAAGTTGCGATATGTCAATTCGGTACTTCGGATGAAAGTTTTCAAAACCAACACTATCTAGCAGGTACATGTACTCGCGTTACTGTAAAGCTCGCTTTTCAGAGCTCGCTATTAGGTAGTCAAGTATTTATAATTGCCAAAGATACTGGCTGAGATATTTTTGTTCTAGGTCAGAATCTCACTTCTATAGGGGAGATATTGCCCATATGCGTAAAATATTTCAACGCTTAGTGCAATATTAGTTTGACTAGATAATAAATAGGCTACACATTTTCCTCAAACTGTGACATGTTGCACCCAATGGAGGATTGTGTTTGTATAAACTCCAGAATCACTGAGAAGTGTTATCTAAATCCATAATAAAAATTAGGAAGAATTTCAATGAAGTTGGGGAATACATTGTTATGGTATAGGACTGTTATATGATGTGATCACTGATCGCTCAAGATTCTTGTCATATGAGTGTGAGTCTTAATCTTAGAGACTCCCAATTTTTGGACAAAATGTAAAAATCACACAAGCCCGGTCCACAAAAATAGAAGGTGATGTACTTAACCTGTTTACCCACATCTTCATGTCATCGTTAGAATTTTCTTTGAAAAAAAATCATATGATAACTGTTTAGTCTCAAGATGCTTATGCTGCAACATAAAATTTTATTATTAAATTATAATTATAATATAGTGTGCTGAAGTCTTGACAATAATAATGTTTTTCTGTTATAGTTGTTCTTGCAACCTCAGCAGAGGCCAATAAACATCTAGAGATGGGTAAACAAATGTTGGCTGCTGGGAATATGGTGGAAGCACTGTCTCATTTTGATTCAGCTGTAGGTAAGTGAAGAAAAAAAATGGATTCCAGTGGTTTGAGATTTATTGCAGTACATGTATGTTGGATATATGAGACATTTTTACAGTAATATGATACTGAAGGGTAATGTTCAAAGAGTCAAGATCAAATATGCATAAATCTGAAAGATAAGTATTTGTGTAATGTTATAACAAATTTGTCATGTAGGAATGAAATATTGATAATGACATTGCTTCTTTTGATATTACATCTAAAGTTGTCATGGTTCCAGAATCAGGATTGTTAATTTCCCGAAAGAGTAAATTACTAAAGACAGAAATTTCAGGATTTTTAAATATCAAACATACACACTTTTACTGTTAATGTAATAAGGATATTAGTTTAGAAAACTATTGCATGATTGTTAAAGCAACATATTTTCATGAACACTTGTTGTATAAGCCACTGTAGTCTAGAAGACCATTTTCAATTAATTTATAGTGACATGTTACCAGAACATGTCAAAATTTCATCATGTTTTAAAAAGCAAGCATATACGAGGGATGATCAAAAATAAACCGGACTGTGACTGTCAATTGAAGAATTTTCAACCTATCACTTATTGTTATATATCACACTAAATCGGAAAACAATATCTGTAAACTGATGCTTTATCTAATCTGATAACGCAAAAAACTTGTCCGTAACAGCGAATTCAAAAACCATGGTAACGCACACCCGGCGCAGTGCGTAAATTCGCCTTGACATCTGGCGCTTTAAGCTGCCTATATTTTACAATATGGCACATTTAGATTTCAAAATACGCCAAAACGTCATGAACCATATCTTTGACGTTGTCAGTTAAAATGACTTCATTTAAATCAAATTTATATTTGCAATCACAATTCAAACGTCACATGTTAATGAAAAACTATGTCGTCGAAATGTCTCGAAAATTTATCAATTAGAAAAATTTGTCAAAAGTAAGACGAGAAACTGTTTAAAACGTAAAAAAAGATTATGGCTATCAAGGGAAAAGTTCCAGAAAGCCACAGTATATTTTTTGATTAGCATAAAAGATAAAGAAAGGGTAATAAAGAAATAGAAAACAAGTAAGGAAGAGACAAAAAAAAAGAAATTTTCAAGGACGTTGGTGACGTCAATCGCCAAGACGTTGAAAAATGACAGTCGATTGACTGCGGACATTGTCAACAATGTTGGACAGTAGCTACGGGACGGTGCAGTCAACTCTAAGGATTTTAAAATGATAATAGTTAATGCATTAAATACATATATTGTATTCTTTATTTACAATTGTATCAATTATTTTCTTATTTTACGCAGTAGTTTTTTGGAGAAATTGTGTCAACAATTAGACAGTTACTGTTCAAAATCGGCTATGCGTTTATTCATTTTAAAATAATGACAATTTTGTTCATAGTTGTATTATTCTTTTATTTTGTCTTATGTATGATACATTATCATTCAGCAACATTATTTTCTTTTATTTGTAATACATAATATAGTTTATTGCATGTGCAGTTTTTCCAACAATAAAGTTACAAGAGGAAAGAACGGATATTTGCGTCATTACATTGCATCATTTTATCATCATCCATTCTTTGACAATACCATTTTATACCCACTTGTACAGAAATATTTATAGGCAGTGGATCCGCCGCATCAACAACATGGCTGTACCACTTATTGGCCAACTCCGTGAATGAGTAAAAACTGCTCCGCTAAGGAAAATACGCTTGTGACGTTGTTAACGACAATTTCAAAGTTATACCGTGCGCCGCATTGCTTTACATGTACATGCCAATAACAGCATAACTTTTTTATTTGTTTATATTTCTTGTTGGTATTTTTTGTATCATTTAGGGGATAGATTCCGATTTATGTTCCGTGCATTTTTATGTAAATTCATTTAACATGTAAAGAATCATTTACAAAGTCCGGTTAATTTTTGATCATCCCTCGTATATGCCAGTAATGATGCTAAGAACCAAAGAAATGAGCCGTGTCATGACAAAACCAACATAATGAGTTTGCGACCAGCATGGATCCAGATCAGCCCGCGCATCCGCACAGTCTGATCAGGATCCATGCTGTTCGCTGTCGGTTTCTCCACTGGTAATAGAGTTGATAAGCGAACAGCATGGATCCTGATCAGACTGCGCAGATGCGCAGGCTGGTCTGGATCCATGCTGGTCGCAAACCCATTATGTTGGTTTTGTCATGACACGGCTCAAATTATTACTTCTTATTTCAGAGAAGGACCCTGGCAACTATTTAACATTTTTTAGAAGGGCAACAGTTTATTTAGCACTAGGAAAATCAAAGTCTGCCTTGCCTGACTTGGACAAAAGCATTGAGCTCAGACCAGGCTTTGTTGCAGTAAGTAGCAGAGTAGCAGGCAGTTTTCTTACCATTTGCATTGCCTTAAAAAATGATAAATAAACTGCTTTCCATAATTATGTTCATTCAATGATTTTCACTACTTCAAATCTTTATAGAGTAAAACTTCTTTCTCGGCTCTATTATTATATGACATTATCTTGATATCCATTAGAGAGACCTGTCACAAAATTGAAATTAATGTCCATCATTGAGCAGTTGGATTGAATCCAGCTGGAGAAGACAAACTCTTTCTTGTTAGGGAGATACCTAGCTAATTTACAATAAATTTAATATCCAGCACAAGTGCCAGAAATAAATTTTATACTAGGGGACCTTGCTTCTTGCTTCCCAGTTTAAGGTAAAAAGTGTCATAAAGGCTTTGTTAATTATTGTGACTTAAAAACTTAAAGAAATATGGCCTATAATAAAAGATACTTCTTTCTGATGTCAACAGTAAGGCTTTATTGACCCATAGAAAGAATCTTTTATGATAATAAGGCAATTGATGACTTGTAATAAACAATAATTTGCTGTCATAAAGAAATAAAGTTGTGTGGGTTTTTTTTTAATTTACAGGCATTAACTCAGAGAGGTAATGTTTACCTCAAGCAAGGCAATCTGAAAGCTGCAGCTAATGATTTTGAAGAAATTGTAAGTATAGATTTGAGTTTGACCTATTTTGTCTTCTCACAATTGAATCATCTTTATAATAAATCTGAAGAATTTAATGCTGAAGTGAAGAATACACATGTTAATGTATACACACATTGTTACGTAAAGGGAGGTAATTAGACTTTCATTGCAGAAGGGAGGTAAATAAATTGTCAACGCCAGAGATGATAAAAGTTTCAATATGGCGCATAAACTTTTATTGAACGGAGAGATAATTTGATTTTTATGAAAGGGAAATAATTTACCTTTATTATGACAGATAAATGAAACTTTTATTTAGGGCAATAATTAATCATTCATTTAAGGAGATATCATGAGTTAGCTTTCAGGGAAGGGAAGTAAATCTTTGTAAAGGGAAGTAATTAGGTTTTCATTTAGGAGGATAAGATGTTAATTACATTAATTTAAGGTGGGTTTTTTTATAATATTTAATTTACCTAGTCTATCTAATCATATTTTATTGCTAATAATTATATACATGTAAATATACAGAGAAACCTAGTAATAATAATAAACAAATATATATATATCAAAATATTTTAAACAAGGTCTGGGATAATGGTAAATCATCAAAAAATAATAAGAAGCCTGAATATTTTGTGCAACAGCAAGTATTATATCATGTCACTCCATTTCTCTAAGAGTTAGTTTAATGATACATTATTTATAAATGTTTTGTTTCAGCATCTTAACGATCCATCCAACCAGGAAGCCATGAATTATTTACATCAAATAGAACCATTAGCAGAGGAAATAGAGCAAGCCAAACTGTTATATCATAGTAGAGATTACCAAGGCGCAATAATTTTACTTTCTAAAGCTATTGATGTAAGTTTAACCCTTTACCCCATATATACGCGAAACAACGCACTTTCGACCCCCCCCCCCCTTTTTTAGGCCTCAAAGAGTGAAAAAATGTCCTATTTGGGCCCCAAACACATGTTTTCGTTTGAGAATTGTTGCTAAAAAAAATTGAGCACTTTTTTCGGCGCCGCCCCCATCCAAAAGATACATCAGGGGGTTGCCAGAAGGGGATGTGCCCCTTTTGTTAGGGGGGTTTGAGGGGGGGCGGAGTCCCCTCATCGCCAAGAAAATTTTGGACTTGTGAGAGGCTAAAAATGACCCCAGGTCGATCATAATGTAACGTGTAACCAACGCTGAAAAGCCTTTGACTCTATCTCAATCCCTTGAGAAGTTGCAGCACTTTGAAATAAATTTTTGATGGAAAAAATCGAGGCAAAATAGTGATTTTGGGCAATTTTGAGATGCCCCTCGTTGCCATGGTAACAGGAAATTTAAGACTGAGCATGTCGTTACAAAGGCAATGGTCCAGTCAACATTTGTGCCAAGTTTGATTAGTATTGAAGCATTTTTCATAGTTTCATAGCAGTTTGAACTTGTAACAGGAGGCTTTTCAGTGAAAACGGCCATTTTTCACAATATGCTCATGGGGGAAAGGGTTAAATAAAAAAAAAAAAAAGTTACAAAACCACAATTTTTCACCAAAATTAGGTGAAAGACCACATATAAACATTGAAAAACTAGTTTTTAGGTGATTTCAAAGTTTTTCATCTTTTTTTGTTAACTAAAAAAAAAAAAAAGTTACAAAACCACAATTTTTCACCAAAATTAGGTGAAAGACCATATATTAACATTGAAAAACTAGTTTTTAGGTGATTTCAAAGTTTTTCATCTTTTTTTGTTAACTAAAAAAAAAAAAAAAGTTACAAAACCACAATTTTTCACCAAAATTAGGTGAAAGACCACATGTTAACATGGAAAAACTAGTTTTTTAGGTTGATTTCAAAGTTTTTCATTATTTTTTGTTAAACTAAAAAAATTATAAATGTTACAAAACAACAATTTTTTCACCAAAATTAGGTGAAAGACCCACATGTTAACATGGAAAAAACTAGTTTTTTAGGTGATTTCAAAGTTTTTCATTATTTTTTGTTTACCCTTTACCCCATATATACGCGAAACAACGCACTTTCGACCCCCCCCTTTTTTAGGCCTCAAAGAGTGAAAAAATGTCCTATTTGGGCCCCAAACACATGTTTTCGTTTGAGAATTGTTGCTAAAAAAAATTGAGCACTTTTTCGGCGCCGCCCCCCATCCAAAAGATACATCAGGGGGTTGCCAGAAGGGGGATGTGCCCCCTTTTGTTAAAGGGGTTTGAAGGGGGGCGGAGTCCCCCTCATCGCCAAGAAAATGTTGGACTTGTGAGAGGCTAAAAATGACCCCAGGTCGATCATAATGTAACGTGTAACCAACGCTGAAAAGCCTTTGACTCTATCTCAATCCCTTGAGAAGTTGCAGCACTTTGAAATAAATTTTGATGGAAAAAATCGAGGCAAAATAGTGATTTTGGGCAATTTTGAGATGCTCCCTCGTTGCCATGGTAACAGGAAATTTAAGACTGAGCATGTCGTTACAAAGGCAATGGTCCAGTCAACATTTGTGCCAAGTTTGATTAGTATTGAAGCATTTTTCATAGTTTCATAGCAGTTTGAACTTGTAACAGGAGGCTTTTCAGTGAAAACGGCCATTTTCCACAATATGCTCATGGGGGAAAGGGTTAATATATATATATGTATTCTTATACACAACATATGCTTTTGATGTCACATAATTTCATTATATCTTTTTATCAGATTTAAAATTTATGACCATTATCCTCAGTCAATAATTTGATGATTCATGTGAAGAAGTTGTTTATAAATTAAAGAGGGTGGTTTTCACCGGTCCTGGTAACAAGTTTTATAGGTGTCTACAGGCTATGTTTTGTCTGAATCACTATTACAATACTGTGGTTAAACCGAAAATTTACTAAATTATTAGTCATTATTTCAAGCTTTACTAGATGAAATAAATATCAAAGTTATCCATGTAGATTAGAAAAGGATGATGGTTTTACTTGAGTGCAAGTTTGTGCTTAAAGGATTGAACTAAGTGATGTGTTAGGTCTTCTGTAACCACTGAAGCTGGAAGGTGGCCATATAACCTTGAGTTTGTCAATGAGTGAGGCTTAAAACACAACTTGAAAATGTTAAGACTTCTTATGAGGTTATAGTATTAAAGATAGAAATTTAGATAGATGATTTCTGTATTTACTACTAGTATTCTTTACAATATTTGTATTACATCGGTTATAATCTTTATTTTCAGTTGTGTCCATGGGACCCTGATCTCCGTGAGATCCGAGCTGAATGTTATATCGCCCAGGGGGATCTGGGTAAAGCTGTTAGTGATATACGTCCAACTACTAAATTAAGGAATGATAATACAAAAGGATATTTAAAATTATCACGTTTATTATATGATATTGGTGATGCGGAGGAATCACTTTCGTAAGTATTTACTGCTTAGTAAAACTTTATTTGCAATTACTGGAACTGTTGTCATGTAAATATCTGCCTGATATCCAGCAGGTCAAGTCTGTACAAATTAATCCTTGTAATGGAGACAGGAGTGTGGCTTGATTAGAAGAGATGCAAACTGGCAGCAAGAATGAAGTGGCTTTTATAAAAAAAAAATTTAAACTTTTAAATATGAAACTTATTAAAAGGTTCCTTATTTATGCTGCAATGCATTGAATACTTAAAGTGAATAGGTCTATAATGAAATGTCTGTAATACAATGATGATTAATTATGTTGAAAGTAATTTAGTTTTCTGCATCAGACATAACAGCAAACCATGAAAGAACTATATATATATGGAGGTTGTTGACAAGTGTGACATACATGATCTCATATGTCATTTATTTATATAGAAGATAATAAGATATTCTATGCACAAAATATTCTCATCATATTAATGTTAACTTAGAACTATGTCAACATTTTTCTAAACAATTTTTTATAAGAATATCCAAATGATACATTTCTAATGTTTTTATGAAAATCTGAAAATTGTATGGAAAATGTGCCCATTGTAGAGCTGTCCACTTTGAAATAATCTTAGTTAAACCTGATTGACATATAATGCTTGCATTGTTTCTGTTTTCAGTCAAGTAAAGGAGTGCTTAAAGCTAGACCCTGATCATAAGGAATGTTTTCCATTTTATAAAAAAGTGAAAAAACTTGCGAAACAGTTAAAAGAGGCACAGGATTTATCTAATAGTGAACAATATGATGACTGTGTGAAAAAAGCTAATAAAATACTGGAAACTGAAAATAAAGCTTACCATTATGTTCTCACTGCTAAATCACATAGATGTCACTGCTTAGCTAAGGTAGGTTTGGATATATTTTTAGCTATGAATGTTTATTATATACGTAATAAATGAAATATTGATATAATAAAATGGCTATTTTCAAAATCTGTATTTTCACTTTCAAATCATAAGTTTAAAAAAAAGTATATAATGAACAGAAAATTCAAGTTTTTTGTATAAATATGGGATTTATTTTCATCTTGTAGTGTGATAATTATCATATTTTTTTCGTGGCTAGTGTGATATCATATTTCACTCATGGCTAGTGTAATATCATATTTCACTCGTGGCTAGTGTGATAATATCATATTTCTTTAGTGGCTAGTGTGATATCATATGTCACTTGTGACTAGTGTGATAATTATCATATTTCTTTAGTGGTTAGTGTGATATCATTTTCACTCGTGGCTAGTGTGATAATTATCATATTTCACTTGTAGCAACTGTCACACATTTGTGAAATATGTATTTTCATGCCACTCTATGAAAATAAATCCTGTACATGAATATTCTCTATTTATTAAACACTTAACTGTAAAGAACACTTTCCCTCTATATAATACTGAAAATTGTGTGGTTGAAAAGGTAATATATGATTGAAGCATTATAATAGCAATTTTTAGTTTGCATTAGGGATTGTGAGAAAATATATTTGTATTGATCAATCTAGAATGGTTGACATTGACTTAAATCTGTTATATATTGTCATACTACAACATTTATGTTTATTTTTTAAAAAATTATATAAATTTCTGTTTCCAAACACTTAAAAAGGTATAATCTGTGCTTTGTTTAAGGGAATAATTGTTTTAAAAAACGAAAATTAAATGTTGGTATTATTATTATAACAATTAATGATATTGACATCAAATGATGATTTGTTATATTGCAGGGTGGACATGGTAAGGATGCACTGAAAGCCTGTAATGAAGCATTAGATATGGATCCAGAAAATGCCAACATCTTGTGTGATAGAGCTGAAGCCCATATAGCAAATGAAGACTATGAAGCCGGTAGGTGCTCATTTAATAGTCTCTTGCCTAATGATTTAAGTTAAGCTGAAGGCTAAACATCCCTAAATCCTGCAGTAGTGATGAGGTTAATTGATTCTGAGAAAACTTGTTTGTTTTGGTATTGACAATATAAAGTTGATACAAAAAAATACAAAGTTAATACAAATGTGTATATAATAATGTAGGCACACCCCTTTCTATGTCTGTTGACCCACTTGAGGGGTATTTATGAACAGTTTTGGTCATTGATATTTTGTATAGAAATAACATCTAGGACACACTGATTCGGATTAAAGTCTCTTTTCAAGATCAAAGGTTAGAGTCATAAAATAACTTTCCCCTGATCTGTACCTATACTGCCATGATGCTTTTATCCAATTGTATTTATAACGAGGTAAATAGTTAACCAATTACAGCCAATAATAGCCAATTATAGGAATGATATTATAAGGGTATTAATAATTAACTGTAATGATAAACATTGAAATAATTACAGCTGTGAAAGAATACCAGCAGGCCATGAATGTTGATCAGGAAAGTAGAAGGGCAAAGGAGGGAATGGAACGTGCTCAAAAATTGCTCAAAAACTCACAAAAAAGAGACTATTACAAAATATTAGGAGTTAAAAGGTAATTTGATTTTTTGTTCAAATACCGACAGTGACTTTGTATTCATTCATGTGAGGAAACTATCTAGTTAGCTAATGAATTGCAGTGGTTCTACTTGGGTGTAGTTTCGTGGCTGAATTTATGCATGGAGGGGCACCTGAGGTTTTCTACCACCAATAAAGCTGGAAAGTCACGATATTAACTATATTGTGTCGGTGTGATGTTAAACCCAACTACAAAAAAAATAACAACATGCACATGAAACAAACATTATTATAACTTTATAATTTAATGTGATGGAAGCTTATTTAAACAACTCTTGAGTCTATTTCCTAGAACTTAATTGGTGTCTTATAAGGAAACCAGCTTGTGACCCTAATTGGGATTCAACCGCACAAACCCTTGACTGAGAGGCAGTCAAGTAAACCATTAATCCACCTCTCCCCCATACATTATTTTTGCATCATTATATCGTATTACATTGCATTTCAATACAATATCACTTAACTTTGAATATATATTTCATGACATTTTTCATAGAAATGCAAATAAGAAGACAATAATGAAGGCCTATAGAAAGCTGGCAGCTAAATGGCATCCAGATAAACATCAAGGAGAAGATAAAGAACATGCTGAGAAAATGTTCAGGGATGTCGCAGCTGCTAAAGAGGTTCTAACTGATCCAGGTAATTTTATAGATTAAGATTGTTCCTGATTTTCACAATATTTACCTCCCTTGACAAAAGTGGCTCCCTTTTTGGGAATCAGTCTGATATATTTTGAGTTATGCCCATTTTAAACGTAGACTGGTTATTGATAGTAGTTTTCACTTAACAGATAAACATAATCTTAGCATGCATGCTCATGTTTATAAATTCACCTAGGTATTTAAGCTTTTATTTTAATTTATTACAGAAATGAGAGAGAAATACGATCATGGAGAGGACCCTCTAGATCCTGAACAACAGCAGGGAGGCCATGCCCATCCATTCTTTCATGGCTTTAATCCATTTGGAAATGGTGGAGGTCAGGGATTTAACTTTAAATTCCATTTCAACTGAGATGGAAGGCAGCATATTCTGTGATATTTTACCGTATTTGTTCATACCTATTGCAGTTATGACTGTAGAGAGAATGTTGTACCGTATATCTCATATTAAAGCAGCACGCCTCCAGATTCATGCTAATTTCCATTAAAATTTTGAAAATGTATTTGAATGTATAATATTGTGAAATTACCAAAAGGAAGCTATTTACACATTATCAATTGCACTTACAAGCCATGTAAATTACCAAAAAGTGGTCAAAACATGCATAAATAGCCCTTACTGCGTTAGTAACGCAATAGAAATATAGTTGTAAATACTAAAAAATCAGTCATTAACCGCACATAACATGTAAATTATTACTTCAATCTTGAATCATTTTACGTTTCCTTAAATCGTAGTACATATTTTTCAAGTTTGATTTTATTGAAATATTTTGACTCATCTGGAGGCATGCAGCTTTAAGAGACCTTGCCCTGTGTATGGATGGGCAAATGAATAAGAGAGTTTTATAAATTGACATTGTTTCATTTATTGCAACAGATTATCTGGTCATTATTTATGTGAAGGAAATTGAATTGTCTTAAGGCATAAGATCTCTATAGTTTTTTTAGCATGATTAAATGTTATTAGGAGTTTTTATTTATACACGTCTGTTATATCTTATATTATACAGAGGATGGATTTAACTCTGGTATGCCATATGGAAATATTATATTTCAACTCCAACAGGAATGTTTGAAGTCATATCAATTTACTTGTTGAATATGATAACATAAGCATTTGACCAGTTCTTTTCATTTTTAGAAAATAAAAAAACATTCTTTGTTGGATATTAGTATCAGAAAGAATAGTTCAAAATTTCTGTAAGCATAAAAGATAGTTCTTAGTTCTAGAAAGGATAGTTCAAAATCTGTGTAAGCAGAAAAAAATGGTTAATGAAAGGATAGTTTAAGTTTGGCTGAAGGATAGTTGAAATCAAAAGATTCATTTTTGTTGCCATCAAAAGATAATCATATTTACTATTTCCTAAATTCTAGACTTATTAGGTAGAATTTCATTGTAAATCATAGTAATAGATTTGAGAAATAATTATTTATTTCCCAAAGCATCATATTTGTGACTGACTGATGAAAGGTTTCCTCTAAACAATTTCTATAGAAAGTAATTATTAAAATAATTTTTTGTTGTGTGTAAACTTCTGGGAAAACAAAAAGCGACTGACTGATGCTACTAAATTTTATTATTGTTAAAAAGCAACTTAATACAATGTTGAAGAAGTCATGGATATTCATGACAAAAAGTTGTGAATTATGTATACCCTATTGTTATGTATTACAATAAGTGAATTCCATTAATATATATATATTTTGTGCTACATATAAATTATGTTTTGTATGCTTGATGAAAGATATTTACAGGATGAATACTTGTCTAGTTGTTGAACTGCTGCAAATTTTTTTTTTACTGTTATGTATCGTCACTTTAGATTGAGAAGGACTTGAGCTGTAACTGCACTTAGATGTTGCTATGTATTTCTTCATAATCATGAAAAAAAATCCAGTTGCTCTCACATAAAAGTGCTGGGAATTTGTGCTTACAGTTTTTTCGGGATTTATGATTTTTCATTTACCCTAGTAGAACAAGATCTGCTATTTTTCTTCATTAATGGACATGACACAAACTATCAATAACATATCACATATTATTTTGTGTGATTTCTGCCTTTTCTATTTGTCATATAAAATACATTTTAAGATTATGTTCATTGAATCATTTGAAAAGCAAACCATGGTTTACTGCGAATGTTGTTGGAGAAATTGCACAAGTATGCCTGTTTCTAATGTTTAAAAAGTTTTGAAAGGTGACTTATGGGTGAGACTTAATCAGGAGATACACATCCAAGTTAAACACATATACTGTTCACCTCTTTGTACTATTATGTAATATGTTGTTGTTGTTTTTTCACCTGAAAAAGTCAATTTTGTGTGTGTGCTCACAAATTGAAACCGTGTTTGTTGTTAATGTTTTATACAGTTAGTGTTATGTACAGAAACAGAAGTATTAGAATAGTACATGTAGCTATTAAAACTATGCCATTAGTTTCAACACTTTAGATTAAATACATTAAATTTTGAAAAAAAGTCATTATGAGGCGTATTTTTGAGTACATGTGTTTGTGTGATGAAATGATTTTGTATGTTTTGTTTATGAGATGATGCACTGAAAGTTATTATTTTGTTAATGTGTATTATAGATAAAAAAAAGAGGTCTGTTGTTAATTTGTTGTGATCTAGAGAAATATTTACTGTCTGTGAAAAATATATATAAGAACTTACAGCTTGTAATTCAAGCATTTTTTTTAAGCATTAATCTACTGGAACCGAAAGTGATTTATCTCTGCCGACAGTGTAGATCCAGGCCAACCAGCACATCTGTGCCGATTCTGACTAGGGTCCATACTGTGTACATATTTTGTACAGACTTTAATATATTCTATATAAACCAAATGTTTGTTAGTCTTAGTCGGTAAAATTTAAACCAGTCTGTAAATGCAAGTTTCTGATTGGTAAATAGTTTTCATTATTTAAAGATCCTGTAACATAATTTTTTCATGGTTTTATTTCATAAATATGATGCTCAAATTAAGATTTGTCAATATTGTAAGTTCCAATAAGCATTATTTATAAAGATATTACCCAATTTAACATTTCATGTAAATAAAGGGAGGTAATTAGAAATTTCTTTTCTATAAATTCTAAGTCAATTCTTCCAATAAGAAATGAATGCATGTCATTTATTGATTAAATATAATGTGCACAAATATTTGCAGTAAACATTTTACATATTCTATGATGTTTGAAAATTGTTTTATTTGCATGATTATATACATATATAACTTTTTGCAATTGTGGTATACACCGTAACAATATCAATCACAAAACATACAGGATCTTTAAAACTGACCAATCAGAAAAGAGCATTCATAGACAAGTATTTGAATAGTATTCCACAGATGATTTCCACTCATTTTTCATGTTTACGACGTATTTTGTTTGAGACCATGGAGTTTTACCTTCTTTAATTTTTTTAAGCTGGGGGATAAGTTTTTTTTTTCCAAATATTATTTTTTTATTGGAAATTGAATCATGTTTCTGTGTGTAGATGATATTGTTGAATATGAATGCAGTTGAAAAAATGTTCATAATGAATATTCCATTGTGCTTATTATTGTGAAAATTGATGTTTTATTTGTGCAATTTAATTGTATAACATTTGTTACATGCCTTGACTTGGAATAAAGGTTTATATTGACATAAAGATCTAAAATTAATAAGCTTCATGTTTTCTTGTTTTTCCTTCATGACATTGCCAATTTTAATCTTATTTTATAGCTTAAACTGACCAGGTTCTATACTGTTTCTATGTAATTTTTGTGCCCCCACTTTAGAGGGGTGGGGGGCATTTAGATCCATCCATCCCTCCATCCGTTCTCATTATGTGTCGCATGTAGCTCAAAAAGTATTTGACCTGGAGTCATGAAACTTTACAGGAATGTTGATCATCATGTGTCGTTATGCACCTGGGGTTTCGCTTGTGGAATTGTTCTGTTTTGTCAGAGTTATTGCCCTTGACTTAATAAAAATTTGCAATTTTGAACTTGTGTTGCACGTAGCTCAAAATTTATTTGACCTAGGGTTATAAAACTTTACAGGAAAGTTGATCAGCATGTGTAGTTGTGCACCTGGGTATTTTCGTTTAGATTTTTATGCCACCGCAGCATCTGCGATGCGGTGGCATATAGCGATTCACCTGTGTGTGTGTTTGTTTGTGTGTGTGTGTGTTATATAGATTATATAGTGAACTTAAAAAATCTTCTTGTGAAAAACCACTTGTCCAATTTAAACCAAACTTGGCCGGATTGATCCTTGGGCGAAGGGCTTCCAAAGTTGTTCAAAGAATTTCATTCCATGCAGAAATCTGGTTGCCATGGCAACCAAAAGTAATTATCAGAATAAATTTAAAAAATCTTCTTGTAAAGACCCAAAAGGCCTATAGCTTAGATATTTTGCATAAGGCATTGTCTGGTAGACCTCTACCAAGATTGTTCAAATTATAGCCCTGGGGTCCAAATCGACCCTGCCCCGGGGGTCATTGATTTTCACTATATGTACATATAATACCTTCTTGTCTGAAGGTACCAGGCTTAGAGGTTTGATATTTGGTATATGTTATTATCTATAGGTACTCTACCAAAGTTGTTCAAAGTTTGCCTCTAGTGTCAAAGTCAGCCCCACCCCGGGGGGTCATAGGTTTTTCTTATATGTATATTTTAAAAACTTAAAAAATCATTTTCTCTAAATTCACAAAGGCTAGAGGTTAGATATTTTGCATGAAACATTGTGTAGTGAACCTTAAGCAAGATTGTACAAATTATAGCCCTGGGGTCAAAATTGGCTCCACCCCCGGGGTCATTGATTTTCACTATGTACATACAGTAAAACATCAAAAAATCTTATTGGTTGAAGGTACAAGCCTTAGAGCTTTGATATTTGGTATATGATATCATCTATAGGTAGTCCACCAAAGTTGTTCAAATTTTGCCTCTACTGTCAAAACTAGCCCCGCCCGGGGGGCCATAGGTTTTCCTTACATGTATATAGTAAAAACTTTAAAAAATCATCTTCTTGAATTGACAAAGGCTGGAGGTGAGACATTTTGCATTAAACATTGTGTAGTGAACCTCTAGCAAGATTGTTCAAATTAAAGCCCTGGGGTCAAAATTGGCCCCGCCCCTGGGGATCATTGATTTTCAGTCACTATGTCATAAAGTAAAAAATTAAAAATCTTATTGTCTGAAGGTACTAATCTGATAATAACAGATAAGTGATCTATGCATTATGGCAATCTGTATAGAAACAAAAAAAATTGTGTTCCTCCATTACTATTTAGTGTTGTATTTATGCGGTGGCATGGCATTTTTTACAAATGCAATCTTGTTTTTTTAGTATTTGTAGAGTTATTGTCCTTTACTTAGTAAAAATTCGCATTTCTCAACTTCATGCATAGCTCAAAAAGTATTTGACCTGTAGGCCTAAAGGTTTACAAGAATGTTGATCAGCATGTTGACTTATGCACCTTGGGGTTCCCTTGTGGATTTATACAGTACATGTATTTGTAAAGTTCTTGCCCTTTACTTGGTAAAATATTTTTAGTTTTCAACTTATGGCACATGTAGCCCAAAAATATTTGACCTAGTCATAAGATTGACAAAACAGTGGAGCACCCTTGTCCTATGGACACATTTTAGTTTTTTATTTGGATACTGAAATCCTTTTAACTTTGTATGGACTGTTCCAAATTCAAAACTCGGCAAAGCCACTACACAAATCTATGGATTGTGTGCGAGTGTTTTAAGTTTATTTACACTCGCCACCATATGGGTAAGTCTTCTTGAAGAGTTTAAGTCATTTTAGATTTTTGAAGGATAGTGCAAACTAAAACACAAAAAAAATGGCCAATCAGAAAACTTTCCTGGTTCCAAAGTGTGCCAAGTGTTTAAGCACTTATACACAGGACCTCCATTTATAGTTTCATCCAACTGATTTGTAATTCTAGTTGGGCAGCCCAGGAATCAAATCCACAATGTCGAGATTACATCTCATGCTCAATTGGGCTGGCTTAAAATTAAGAGTCATGGCTTAAAATTATGGGCCATGGCTTAAAATTATTGGTCAAGGGAGTTAATCATCTAAAGACTGCCTTAATATACAGGCTCACCTGTTAACACCATAATATTATTGGTATTTTAACAACACTGTATCATAAACTCTAGGGTATATCTCAGATAAAAAAATTTTATGGATGTACCAGTGAATTATTGGGATACCAATAAAAAGTAACAATCAATTTATATTTTTTTTTCACATTTATTCAAGCATTTTCATGTAACTTTTTTTGATATTTTCATGAATGACATCAGAATCATAAGAAAGCACTTTGTTTATATACATTTATATTATAACCTAACATTTCTTTATAATGTAAAATATTAACCTTAAAATAAAAAATCTAATTTAAAAATAATTTTCCAAAGTGAAAATAAATAAGAATTTAGACTTTAAACCAGAGAGGAAATTTCATGATTAAAACAATAGTTTCTTCCTTTTTGTCACAATTTATTCTAGATTCTAAATGTCGAGGATTGAACTTTATAGTCTCTCCCCTGACTTATTATTGGACTCAACCTAAAGTTAAAACAAAACAAAAAATAAAAAGAATATGTAAATTATATTCCATTCTTTTTTTCTGTTTATAATGATTTTATCTGCGTAAGTTAACAAATTTTTGCAAAATTTGATTTATTTAAATTAAATTTATTTATGAGAATTTAACAAGAGACACTCACATTACTGAGATACATAATTATATTAAATATATACACAGAGATTAAAAGAAGAAATGAGCCGCGTCATGATAAAACCAACGTAATGGGTTTGCGACCAGCATGGATCCAGACCAGCCTGCACATCTGCACAGTCTGATCAGGACCCATGCTGTTTGCTTACAAAGTCTATAACAAGTAGAGAAACTGATAGCGAACAGCATGTATCCTGATCAGACTGCGGGGAGGCGCAGGATGGTCTGGATCCATGCTGGTCGCAAACCCACTATGTTGGTTTTGTCGTGACGCGGCTCAAATGTAAAAAGATGTGTTTAAACAAAAATAAAAAAAAAATATGAAAGACATGAACTTGGAACAATCATAATTCACACTACCTCACATAATTATTTTTTGACACATGATCATTGACAGAAACATTTTTTTTTACTTTTTCTATTCATGTTTCTAGTACCTTTTTACTACAAAAACTTATCAAAATTAAAACAGTCATTGAAACTCCATCATACAAAATAAGTATGAAATGTCCAAAGCAAATTTTCTTAAAGCTATTGTTGAACTGTATTCTGTTTTAGATTTTAAACAAAAACCATTGTATCCTTTTCATTATCTTATATCAATATTACTTTTGGTTTTGACCTCTAGTGTTGCTTTATAAGTCGGAAAAACCCAAGGTTAGCCAAAAATACTTTTTACTGTTTCAGCGCCAAATGACCTTAACTGCTAATGCACAAACAAAACTTTTGTATTATGTTGTTGGGTTGTGTTTTAAGTCGCACCAACACAGTATAGGTCATATGGCGACTTTACAGCTTTACCGGCCGAGGAAGACCTCAGGTGCCCCTCTGTGCATTATTTCATCTTTATTTATAATTCACTAGCATGTTAGTAAAAAATGTTGCGGGATATTTTGATTTGCTGATCCTATAAGGTACTATAAACATGAAGAATATACAATCTCACATAATTATCCTAGCAATCATTCTATTTTAAGAGAGAGAGAGTGATGTATTTACAACAAACAAACATTTGGCTTCATATACTAAATAGCATAACAACTTTAACAATATTAAAAAAAAACATACATTTAAAGATTGAACTATTCCTACACAATTGGATTAAAATATATCAAATTTACATTATTTCAATGTGAATGACAATACATTTCATACTTCTTTTATTTTTGTCATATTCAAGACAGTCCCTTTTATTCCAAAATTGATAAAAAAATTTCTTCCCATATATGGGGACATGTTTATTTTGTGTGAAAAATTTACAAGTCTTATATCTAAGTCAGACTTAATATTACAGACTTGAATGCAAAATTTGGACCCCGACTTATAAGTGATCAGTCTTTTAGATGAACACATACATTTATTTTTAAAAACTAAAATAGACAGATACATTCCCCCCCCCCCCCCCAAATTGATTATAAATATATATATAATGTCTTATCAACCCTTAAACTCACAGTATACTTGGCTCAAGCGAGTTTTTTGTAACAATAATAAAAGTATTTATGTTGTTTATGTTAATTCTTACAAAGGAGATGTTTTTTAACTACCTTGCGGCTCAACTTTGTGTTGCTCTTGTGTTTGCTGGAATAGCATCACTTCAGGCACCTAATTAAACAACACTTAAATTATAACTAAGGTACATTTTTGGAAGTCTTTCACAGTAACTCAGAGAGGACTATGACATGGGGAGCCAAGAGATTCAGAAAATCAAAATATCAACATCAATTTATTAATGAAACCAAGTCTACCCTTAAGGCTCCTAGTTTCTTGTTGTTCTCCCCTTGCCCCTTTAAAAAAATCATTAGAATTTATAACCATGACATAAAAAGTATGAAATGTAAAACCATTGAAGCAATCACAGATTTTGTAACAAATTATGAGAAATTATAGTACATCAACAGATAAATGACAAAGTCTCAATAATTAGAAAATTATATATATATAATATGTATATGTATTTACATTGAAATTTGATTTCAAATACATCAACCTTTCTAAAGTTTTAATACTATCACTTTCAACAGAGAAAACACTCACTGAAGCAAACCTGAGGTTTTTGTTTTGTTTATAGAAAGTAGCTTTACCAATGAGTGGCTGCGGCTGCCTTGATATGGGGGTGGGGGAGTGGTGGTTGTCTTTGTTATATTTTACATCAAACTGGGAACCAGAAAAACAAGAATAACCATGTTTTTGCTGTAAGCTTTGGTATTATTGAGACCAAAACATGCATGGTTAAAATAACTTGATTCTGATTATCATGAAAAAAAACAACAACATTCATTTGAATTTCTAGGAATGTCAAGCAAACAATATAAAACATTTGAAAAACTTTTGATTACTGAATATGTCCGTAGAAAAAAACAGAAACTAAATTACTACTAGGAGTTGATTGTCAGAGATAAGTTGTAAAAGTCTTGCTGTGAAGCCATGGGAGAAGTTTAAATCTTCGAGCTTGCCTGCGGTTACAGAATCTACCAATGCAATCAGTGCAGACCAAGATCAGCCCGCACTTCTTAGTGCCATCCGATGATGGTCTGCACTGTTCGTTATTCAGTCAGTACATATTTTGAAAAATTTCCCCAAATATAATCAACGGTCTTGTCCACATTAAAGATGGGCAGAAACAAGTGAAAAGTTAGTTTGTGCAATAAAATAAGGCACTAAAAGTTGTTTCTACCAAACTTACTCCAGTTCTGAATTTAATAACATTGCATAAATTGTTTAAAACAAACAGTAAGACACTTATCTTTAATTATTCTTTTTATTTTGCAAAATGTTTTGAGTTCCACAAAAATACCAATAAAAAATGAACTGAAAGTATCTCAATTTTCGGACAAAACATTTTCATCTCTAAAGATATTCTGGTCATATTTCCTGTATAATTTTCAACCAGCCACTCATTGATATAGCTGCTTGATACTGACCTTTTTGTACTTAAATATAAAAATACATAAAATAGCCCCTTTTCTGTCTAAATAGACGATTCCTGTTTTAAATTCGGAACAGTCTAAATTCAAAATGCAGAGGGGTACAGTATGTAACATACCAACAATTTAAGTTTAGCTGGTAAAAAATTTTAAAATTTTTACCTAAACATCCATTATGAAATTGTCAATTAGGCAAACTTTACTCAGAAAAAAAATCATAGCTAGGCCATATTGTCCATTAGTAGTTAAGAATTCAGTTTTACTGAATATTGGGTATAGGGTTTGTTTACAATACTAATCTGGCTATAAATTGATCAGGTCAAATACATCTATGGGCCAATAATATATATATTGGGTCAGTAGATGTAAATTTAGGCCCAATACAACTTAAGGCCAATACGTCATTCAAAGTACATGTGTTAAACACATAAACCAAATGGAAATTTTTCATTTCCCTTTAAAATATATAACCAGGTGACATCCATTCTGTTCTATTTACAAAAATATTAAAGAAAAACAAATCTATAACATTTACATACAAATAAAACTGTATTACGCAATACTTTATATATATTATTCAACTGCGAACCTTTTGATAAAATTGTATTTGTTGGCATAACTGACCACTAACATTACAAATTAGTCACCATTCATATTCCGAAAAATTGGTATGTTCATGTTTTATTTCCAAATTGAATTCTAACAACAAAAAAAAATAATAATTTTAATGTATGAAATACTACACTGTTATGTACAGGTGGGAACAAAAATGTTAGGATATAGTACATGTGAAACAATAATATACATTTATATATAAATACATAATGTGACATCTACCTTGAAATTCTTCGATAAACCAAAAAATTAATTCTTCTCCAAAGCTAATAATATTAGTCACACATTACCTTAAACATGAAGTGAAAAGCCCTATATCTTATAATTGGACCAAAGCATGTTTTAACATACGTGTTAATAAGTGTATGAATTTCTTTTTTCAAAAAAACTTTCCATCATTGTGTATGACAATCATTATCATTGTGTATGACATAATCATCATTGTGTATGACATAATCATCATTGTGCATGACATAACCATCATTGTGTATGACATAATCATCATTGTGTATGATATAATCATCATTGTGTATGACATAACCATCATTGTGTATGACATAATCATCATTGTGTATGACATAATCATCCTTGTGTATGACATAATCATCATTGTGTATGACATAATCATCATTGTGTATGACATAATCATCATTGTGTATGACATAATCATCATTGTGTATGACATAATCATCATTGTGTAAATGTATGACATAATAAGATGATGAAATCAAAACGTTTGAATTCCAAAATTGTAATTTTGTAACAGTCTACCATTTCTATCCATTGAAATAATTATGCACTTATTAAAAAATGCATGTGCTGAAAAACAATTCATCTTCTAATAGTTTTGATTGAATCCCATCACAGGAAACGGTAACTATATTTCCAATACTTTGAAAATTGAAAAACAAATTTTGATTATTTTATACAGTACACACTCAATTTGTATCACACTTATAAACATTTATATAGCACTTCTTATAAAAGTAAACTGAATTTAAAACAATAGTGTCTTTTTAAAATACCATAGTTCAGATAAAAATTTGACAAATAATATAACCAATGTAATAGGCTTTAAAAACTGTACTCAAAATAAAAACATTAATAAATAAAACACAAACTAAATCAGGAGACTATTAATAGAATGATTACGAATATGTCAACTAAACATAAAATTTGTTATTCATTATGAACTGTTTAAAAGACTGATAAAAACTGACTGATAAAAACTGACAATATTTTAAAATCTTTTATATCTTGACCTATTTTCTGTATACATGTATTGTCCAAATAGACTCATCCTTATTATTTAGACCAGACCAAATTAAATAGTAGGTGATAAAAACTATATATGAAATAAAATCATCTTAAATCGTACAAAAGGAGAGCTAATAAACCTAATCAGCATCAAAATCATACAAAAGTTTTCATCATTAAAAACAAGTTTGTTATATCAAGAAATCCGAATTTTAGTGACTGGATAACCTGATGTGTTTCTTTTCTAAAGTAAACCAACACTTGTTTCAAACCTCAATTTATGTATTGTATATTTCTGTCACGTTTAAAAAATCAAAAGCACAATAATTTAATTCCCATCCAAAAGACTATACCCCTTTTTCAAAAGAGAAACTTAAGTCTGACCTGAACTGTTTTCTTAGCCAATATTCATGAATTTAAACAAATAATTTGTCACTATTAAAATGTTGTGTTAAGTAAAGGCCCCCTTCTCAAATGCATTTAAAACTTTATTGCAAACCCATATCTACTAAAGACTTACTTATCTTAGCATGAACATTTTAGCATACATTTTATGTTGCTGTAATGATCCCACCATCCATGACCTTACAATTAACATACAAGGTCACCAAATGACCTTCAAATGACCCTCACCTTTATCAACACTCAATATTCTTCAGCAAAAGTGATAAGGATTGAAAAAAAATAATTTTTCTTCAAAAAACGAAATAAAAAGTGTTATTGTCAACAGTAAAAATATATATAATAATTATGGCATTCATTCTGTTTTAATATTATTGAGTTTTACTGAAGAAAATGGATTTAAACAAACCAAATAAAAAAATCTTCACAAAAGTGTTTAAAGAAATGTTAAAGTCACTGTAATAATATATGGCATTCATCACATGTTATTATATATTAAGTGAACTATCTCCAATGCTGAAGTAAACAGAAGAATAAAGCTGTAAAGATCCAAGTGACTGAGAACTGAGCCCCTGATGCTCCGTTTCCATCCCCTGTGTTTTTCGGTTTTTTATTTGGAGGAGCGCGTGTGTTTGGTGGATCATTACCAAGTCTGCCACCTTGCTCGACCTCATATTGTTCTCCTGAAAAAAATAAATACAGTCGCATTGTATAAAACATTGTTACTCCTAAATTTTGTAATATCTGTTAACTGAAATCAAAATCTTACCTATTTATCCATTTGAAATAAAAAATAAATCTACTGTTCATAAAATATTGTTAAATTGGCACTATATCAAAGGAAATGAAAAAAAAATCTGGAAATCATGCAAATTTAAAAAATTTTGAACGACCCTCAAAGGGAAAGCACTATTACTCCATTCTTAAAAACATTCATGTCCATTGTTACTTCCCTTAGATTTACACACATTAATCCAGAATAAGTCAACTAACAATTCAAGAGACGAGTGGTTTTGTCCAATTTCTGTAACAGGTCCTCTTTTTTTTCAAAATTAAATATGTCTGTTTAGCACATATTTAAAATATTTTATGATGGGTTATTATACAAAATTTTCTACAAAATCGACAAACTTAGATAAGTCTAAGAAAAATGATGCATATTCTTACTATCAGAGTTATTCGGTATTTCTAAAACGTCAACATTTCCAATATCCCCTGTATCAATTGCTGTGTCTACACCGTCATCAAGACCGCTGCCGCTACCTGACAGTAAATTGTAATCTTCGTCATCACCAAGAGTTGTTCCCCCTGCAAGGTTGATACTTCCCATCTGGTTCCCGTCTCCGCTTGCTCCGTATATAGTTAGTTTCGGGTCATCAGAGATCATGTAATTCTTTGGTCGGAGTCTGTCGTTCTTCCTCATGTGAGATTTTAACACCTACAAATAAATAAACACAAAATTAAGGATTTATTATCATCAATCGTTATTTATAATTTTGCTGAGGTTTTAATTAACTCCATCATTTTCAATATCAAAACAAAATTTCAAAATTTACCGGCAGGTGACCTTTGGTGACCTTCCATCTTAAATTCAGGCATTATTGGCAACTTGTAAAGGACCATTGATAACTTTTGTAAGCAAGCTGGATAACTTGCACACTTAGTAAAATTCAAATCACCATTAGCAACCAGAATTAATGGTAATGAATATTACAACAATGTTGTCAATGTAATAAATGTTATACCCAAAATGTTGAAGAATTAATTCAACATATTGATTCAATGGCAAAGGTTCTTTTTAATAATACTTCTTTGTTCGGAAGCTGTCAAGTATATATAGTACTTATGTCCGACTGCTTGTGTCTGAAATAATTCACCATTGTGGCACTCCGAGAAACAAAACAAAAAAGAGCTTCATCAACTAGTAAAGATGATAAATTGTTGTAAATCCATCATTAGCCATAGCAAAAGTAGAAATTTTGAGCCGTTGATCTTTAAGCTGTAGTTTTTGTAAATTTATTAACATTTCCACGAAAAATATTGCAGCTAATAACCCAGCCAAATTGCTATTCCAATTTGACATTAAATCTATATCAAACAAACTGAAAACAATTTTGCTGTTAGATTGTCAAGATATAAATCAATTGAAATGAACCATGTAGACTTTTTAATTCCCATAAACAATTTAACAAAATAAATTTAACACTATGAATAGCAAATAAGCCAATTTCCCTATGACTCATGATGTTTTTAATTTGTTTGAAGGAACAAAAAAAAATTTAATCATAAATAAATCAAACCCTGCTTGCAAATTAATGGCACTGCATTTAATATGCATTTCCTTTACATTCCTGTCAATAAAACAATAAAGCACAAAACATAAATGTTTTAAAAATAATAATAATGATAATAAATAAATAAAAAAATATCATTCAATCAATAAATCAAAGGACTTTTCTTTGAAGTTATTTCTACAGCACTTAAAACTGTAGTTAGTGTATTTTAAAGACTGAATAAAACATGTCTATTTTAGGATATATATTTGCTCTAGAAAATTAATGCTTACTGGTATATAGTGGTATAGGAGACGATATTCTTCACTTGGTTTCACATCTCTTTAAAACAATTAAGGCTAGCTTTAATCTTTTGAAAAACAGCATGATTTATGCATTATTTCATGCACATATTGTCATATTACAGTGGCGTAGCGCGGCCAAAAGTAATTATACGCCTTGGGGGTGGGTTAAGGGAGGGGGTGGCCCCCTCCCTTTGTAAATGGCAGGGGGTTCGGGGGTCTTCCCCCGAGAAAATTTGGATTTATAGATGCAAAATAACGCAATCTGGAGACATTTGACAACATATTTAATTCCCTTCTTATCTAATAAATAGAGGATATTGAAAGAGTGTAAGTTTAATACTAAATTTATTTAATGAGTTGAATAAAATCATATATTATGTGAGCCTCTGGCGGGTTAAGGGAGGGGGTGTCCCCCTCCCTTTGTAAATGGAAGGGGGTTCTGGGGATTTCCCCCGAGAAAATAACGCAATCTGGAGATATTTGACAACATATTTAATTCCTTTCTTATCTAATAAATAGAGGATATTGTAAGTTTAATACTGAATTTATTTAACGAGTTGAATAAAATGATATTATGTGAGCCTCTGGCTAGCATAATATTATTTTATTCAACACGTTCAATAAATTAAGCAATAAACTTACACGCATTTAATATTCTATTTATCACACACCAAAAACAAAGACCGTTTGAAGTGATAAAGAAACATTTTTCATTGAAGCGCCTATAGTATAACACTAACATTTAGCGCGTCTTATCGTTATGTTTATGTAACGCAAATGATGTCTTGTCAAAATATAATTATGCCAGTGCAATACCATTTTTACGGAGTCGCAAAATCGGCACGGGTATGTGATATCTATGCAAAAATGGTTATTCTCTGAAGACAAATGCAAGGCGGCGTTGTTTTCTTGCAGCAAATTTGTCAACTATGTACTCAGAATAATTTTTTATGTCTCTGTAAATATTCATTAGGCCAAGCCCAGACAGCCGTTCTGTAGTCATGGTAGATCTCTTCATGGTGCTGAATGATCGTTCAGCTGTAGCCGTAGACACTGGCATAGTGAGCAGTACTAACAAACAACGACGGACATTGGGATAGTGCTGCTCATTAGCCAGTGGTAATGTTCCTAGAAGTGTATCAGGAGCTTGTGGACGGTCCAACGCAAGTGGTCCATCTGTCCACCATGTAACCAACTTTCTCACTTCCCTGGTAAAGGTAGCTTCGTCTGTACGCCCTAGACAGTAGACAACGTTTAAAAATGACTTTATATTTCAGTTTTATTATAGATCTAGTTAAAAATAAAATAGAATAATATTTTATGTAATTTGATAGAAAAAAAATACATTTGAATATGATTTAATGATAAATTGCATTATTTTACCTACTTTAAATTTCTTGATCCGCATAAACTTACCTCGATTTAAATGCATAATTATGGACATTTGGGCCTGTCTGACTTTAATAAAGTGACTTTCAGCTCATCGTTTAAAATGGTGCAGTTGAAAATATGAACATTAGGAGGCTCATGTTCTTCGGACGTTTTACGTTGGGACGCCATTTGATTTTCCCCGCTTGTATAACTTCTTATGTAAACAACATTCGGAATATAATAGGATTCTACGATAAGATACAAACAAGTCAATACGCATGACACTGTCTTACCTAAAATAGTACTAGATCTACCTAGGTACTAGTTAGCTGTTCTACACTTGCAACAAAACATACCGATAGTTGATACACTATTTAAATCGCTTAATAACAAAATATTTTTTGTCAGCAAATCCTTTTTTCTCCGTCAAAACTCACGGCGATGCCTAACACGGGTTAGGGTACTGATTTGGACTACTGTTTTCAACATTTAAGACTTTTTGATTTTTTAAAATTCATTTTGTTTAGTACGCCGTAATGGCGTATGCCCGGCTACGCTACTGTATTAGTAGAACCACCAATAAGCTTTTGTATTCAGGCTTGAATAAAACCCTTATATACCGGTACTGCAGTTAAAAAGTCTAAGGGCCATAACTCTGCTAATACTAATAACTCTGCTTTTTTGCAATTTTTGGAGGAAAAAAAAGTTGTTTTTACCTTAAGTATCCCTCTGTTTAAGCCCTCGCCATCTTAAATTGGCTTATCATGTTTTGAATTTAAAACACTTTATTAGTTGTTGGAAATTCAGAGCCAAAATATTAAAATTAAGCAGCCATTACTAAATGTTAAGACCCTGAATGTATGGGCTACCCAGACTTTGAACTTGTACCATTAATCACTGCTATTATTTTAACTGTTAAAAGTATATGCAAATAGTCTTACCACATTGACGTCTGCCATTTTCTCCTTCAAGTTTCTAAGGCTTGGGTCAAGAACCAAGGACACTTTAACCTCTGGGTTGCTACGGGCCTGACTAAGAATGTCCCTGTCAACAGCATCTCTAAGGTAACTGAAAATAACAAAGAAATTAGTTTATAATTATACCTTTATACAGTAAAATTTGTTTTGTCCAGGAAAATGGATTCTTTCCCCCCATTTTTGCAGTTGGACCTTTGTTTACATGTAATTTCTCATAATAATTAATTACTTTGAGTTTACCTAAATAACCTGCTGGATTTCTTAAATAAATGAAAATGATAAGTTGAAGTAATCCAGGGCAAACTGCGTGACCTGACCCGGTTCTTACTTATCACTTCCAGCTACAGCAGGCTAATTAGAGTTAATTAATATACATGTATGTAGCAACAAGTGAAACATTAAAAGTCAAGGCCTTAATTGGGAGTCGAACAGGCCTTATGCTCTTCACTGGTTTAACCTTTCTGTTACAGTTCAAAGTCAAGGATTCATATATAACAAGAGGCATTGTAATTGTCTTTATCATTTAATTTTAAGGATGATCTTTTTGGTATACACTGTGTGACTGTATTAAGGTCAATCTGCAGAAATGACATGAATTTCATGTGATCCTATGACAGTGGAAACAGTATTGCTACAAGAGCAGTAAATTTGTTAATAGAGTCTATTTATGTTATTATATGTTTTGGCAAACAATTATGGATTGTTTAAAATTCAAGCCAACTACAAAAGTAATAAATCTGGTTATTACCAGAAAATTCTAGGCCCTATGTTCTTATTACAGATTCAGGAGATAGCAAACCATTATAAAGAATATAAAAACATCATTCCATGAGAATACCTCATTTAACAATTTCTATAGATCTCCTCAAAACCAATTTGCTAGCTTCAAGATCTCATGCAGATTCCCCATTTCTAAACTCTACTTGCCAATGGCCCAGTAATAAATTCTCTCAAGTAAAAGTATTTTGTTAAGGTCCTAAGGCTTTATTATACAAAAGCAGGGAACCAGTCAAGAGATGACTGTTTTACTAAAACAAGGAACCAGTCCTCTTACAACATTACAACCATTGGCTCCGATATACTCCAGGAGTCAGTCCCTTAAAGGACTTTACCATTGTTTAATTTGGAGCTTGTGTTATATTATAATTAACCAATCAGATGATGAATTTTACAAGGATATATAAATAATTAACCAATCAGATGATGAATTTTACAAGGATATGTTAGATGCCACAGAGGGGCAATACTTAAGTTTGAGGTGTTGCCTTTATAGTTTAATGGTTAAGGCACATTGTTATAAAGAGGCGACTAGATGGGTTCCGATAACTGGAGTCTATGCATTTCTTAGCTAGAGCAGGAGTTTTGAGCCATGGTGTTGCTTTTGAAGTTTATTACACCCATTGTTAGCCAAAATCATCTTTCCTGTTTCTGCGACATATCACATATTATTGGTAAGAAATATGTTTTTAATTTTTCAATGGTTGGATTTTTGAAAATCGGAGGAATTGGATCCCACAACGGGAGATCGGGGGATAAGTCTTAAAATCAGGTGATTTGTCCCCCGATGGGGGATATGGCATGAATGAGCCTATACTGCGTTTAAGTGCAGCGTAAAACCAAACAAACTTACGTATGCATAACTTCCAAATAGTAATCTTAAAATTTCTAAATAGCAATGGATTGTGTCAAGTGATAAAGTTATACAAATTCAAGTTTATTATATTAGTACTAGCCCATTCATCTGACACAGCTGTCATTTGAAACATGAACTATTCTAAATAAAAAAAATCTTGGATTAAATACATAAACTGTTCTTAAATTCTTGCTTATGTTATGAGATATTATTATATTTTATATTGAATTACTCAAGTCATATGATCTTGAAAAATTTGATTGTTTTTGTTGTTGTTTTTTTTTTTATTTAATACATATGACAGCTGGTCCTAAATACGTATGACAGGTCTTAAATGCATATGTCACGGTTCTGTACTGTTCACTTTTTAGGGGAGATAGTGTGTAAGCGACCGGATTCTAACGCTCGGCCAGTTACACAGAGACGTGGTACGGATTTCCGAGGGTCCCCGGCTGGGGTTCGAGTCCTGGTCAGGCTGTGCATTTTTCTCACCCTATGACACATAGGTTACATGAAACTTTAATAGTATATACAATTTGAATATACATGTATTATTATACAGCTGCAGAATATTTTCAAAACATTCATATTCTTTATACCATACAGTGCAGCCTCTAAATTCGTGAGAAATTAAAACCCATGTAGAAACATAAAATCTCTATATGCAACATCAATATTCCATTTAATCAATCATTACTTCGGTTATTAAAGGCTTAAATGTAAAACTTTATATCAAAATGTTCTTTAAAAAAAAAATTCTCATCACAAACTTGTTTGAAAATTGCAATTTTCGTAAAATTCGATCGAAAAAACATTGAGAGAAAGAAAGGATAAGAAAGTTGGGGAAAATTAATTACCACTTCCATTATCTAAAACGGTGAAAAGTGATGACAACTCCAGTGATTGCTTTACAATAACAAATTAACAACATGTGATAAAAGATTTTATCAGTCTCTGCAAGAGAGAACTTATTCTAGCAAAATTGTATCCCACTAAAATTGAAGATTGCCTACTAAAATTAAATAATAATTTTACAACAATTATTGCATACGGTTTTAAATAGATCTGATGCTGATTTATTTTAAAACCTACAAATATAGGTGCTTCTCCCTGCTGAATGTACGTCCATGATGACGTACATTCTTATAAGTGCGTTCCCTCGTCACATTTTGAACTGTCCAGCAAGTTTTTTAAAAAGGTGAAATTGATTAAAGACATAAAATACTAAAATCTTGTTCAAATTATCACAAGTTTAAAACATGATGTAGATAAAAACATAATAATATCTAACAATGCTGTATTTATCAAGGTTGGTTTATACAGAATTAATTTTAGTTTGATCGCGTAGGAATCTATAAGCTTATTATAAGACACACTTTAAAATCCAGTCCTGGAACAAACCAGAACTGAACAATAAGCGTAAAGTTTCTTGCTCAAGGAAACGACTTGCCCCTGAAGGGGTTTGAACCTGTTATGCAGCTAGTGGTCATTAGATTAGTCGAACACGGTAAACCACTCGGCCATGCTGCCACTTTATAAAAGTTTTTATAAATAATATACCAGCAAAATTTGAAAATTTGTCCCGTTAAATCTAATGAGCATGAATTTTAACTAAAATACAACAAACAGAATTCATTAAACAGAAAAACAACATTTAATGATATGATTTAACCTTTGACCATACAAATTTAATGTAACTGGGACTGTATGACTTCAGTATCATTATTCTTCCATAAAACAGAAAACAACAACAACAACAAAAGTATAAATCAACCGACAAAACAATAAGAAATGAAGAAAATTACTAATGATGTAGCACTTCCTATTACTTCGAATAGCCAGCCGCAATTCATGCATTTTTCATTCTCTTTTGTCTGTACAAAAGCCACTATAAAATTCAGCACAGGACTCTGTGATATAATACAAGCTGATATATGGTAAAATCTTTACAGACACTAAGAATTTATATATATATATGTATATGGTATAATATCTAAGCATCATTTGAAGGAAAATAACCCTTAAGATAATGCTGTCCATCATTAAATGATTTACAAGAGGCAATATCCTAGAGTCCCATTGATATTGTACTAGATCACTGTACAGATTGCCAGACAAAAAGATATTTCAGACTTTCCCCCAGCAATTTTCTTCTGGTCCAAGGTTCCCATCAATTACTTATACACATTTACTTATTTCTAGATATAAATTTATCCCTCGATGTCTATTGTTCTCATTTTTTTTTGCTTATCTCTCTTCAATTTTTCATATCTGCTCTGTGTTCCATTGATTTCATTCTTTCTTCCGGATTCTCTCCTTGTTTAATACATTTAGGTATCTTTAATTAATTCTTCTCTTTCTCTCTTTTTTCTTTCCTCACTTTTCCATAATCGACTTCTACCTGACTTGAAATGCTCCTTTAACCACAGTCACTCCTTTCTGCATAATTACAACCATACCCCTACCCCATCCCCACCCTCTTCTTTTTTTTTTGTTTGTTTGTAATACTTTTGTTGATGTTCTGTATTTTCACTTATGTTATTCTATCCCCCACCTTAAACTAACACTTGGTTCTCATTTTCTTTCCTTTTCTTTTTCTTTCTTTCTTTCTTTCTTTCTTTCTTTCTTTCTTTCTTTCTTTCTTTCTTCCTTCCTTCCTTCCTGCCTTCCTTCCTTCCTTCCTCTTCCTTCCTTCCTTCCTTCCTTCCCTTCCCTTCCCTTCCCTCCTTCCTTCCCTTTTCTTTCTTTCTTTCTTTCTTTCTTTCTTTCTTTCTTTCTTTCTTTCTTTCTTTCTTTCTTTCTTTCTTTCTTTCTTTCTTTCTTTCTTTCTTTCTTCCTTCCTTTCTTTCTTTCTTTCTTTCTTTCTTTCTTTCTTTCTTTCTTTATTTCTTTCTTTTTTTTCATTTCTTTTTCTTTCTATATCTATTATCTGCTTACTAAAATCTGGATTGCCACAATGATAAAGCACACACTAACTTTTTTTACAGGAGTAATTAATTCAAAAACACAATACTTAATGCATGCATGCATTCGTGTGTAGATAATCTAAATTTGTAGCCTTGATATTATTCAAAAATGTATACATGTAAATGATCTTTTTTGTAATCAGCAAGCTTTCCCAAATTTTTGGCAAGCAGGTATTCTCTTTGAGATAAAAGCAGTTTAAATTGTTCACTTGTGAAATTTTCAGTACTAGAATGATAATTCTACTATTCACACACAAATAGTATTTTGTAAGTACCTGGTATACATAATTAACATAATAATTAACATAATAGTTAACTCAGTTAAGAGCTCTTTTAACGACATGCATGTCAAGCACATGTTCCATCATGTATTTCAATTGGAAGACAATTGTTAGACAATTAAGAAGGAAAAGGCACAATTATACCACTATAAGCTTTCAATCGAGAAACTTTTTTTATGACAGTATGTATGTCTTACAATTTTAATTTTAT